TTGAAGACAGTTAGGTTACTTGTAGAATCACTACATGCCGAATTCATGTCTGCTTCTCCTTTACAAGAACTTATTAAGAGCAAAACTGGACACAGTTGTATTCATCTCTAGTGGCCTCATCACACTAATGAAAAAAATCCACTTAAAATCCAGTCTCTGCCTCCTGTGGAATTGTGGGGTTTGTAGTTAAGGGAACAGCCTTTAACATTCTCACAACACTACAAACCCCAGAATTCTGCAGGAGAGAGAAACTGGATTTAAAGTGGATTTTTCTCTAGTGTGATGAAGTGGTTACCCACAAATGAATCAGAATGTTATTGTACTGAGCTGAGCAGTTCCATCAATTCATCATAGCCTAAAACTGTTGGCTAAGAGATAAATAAGCTGGCCTAGTGCCAAACTGCTCTGATTTAAAGAATCCTAGAGTTGGAAGGGCTTCAGGTGTCATCTAATACAATCTGCTACCATACAGAAATATGCAATTAAACCACGACCATCCAACCTTTTGTTTAAACACCAGAGAAGAATCCACTTTCCTTCAAAGCAATCTGTTCTACTGTTAAACAGCTCTTAAAATCAAGAAATGATTCCTAACGTTCAGGTGGAATCTCTTTTCTTGTAATTTGAATCCACTGGTTTCTGTTCATCTTCTTTGTAACATTCCTTCATATGGCCGTCATTCTACATCTTTATTAATGACTTAGATGAAGAGTTTGGAGGCATGATCATCAAGTTTGCAGACAACACCAAATTGGGAAGGAGAGCCAATGCTTCAGAAGACAGGAGCAGAATTCAAAACAATCTTAACAGATTAGAGAAATGATTGGCCAAAACTAACAAAATGAAAGCCTTCGACAATACATTTAACAAAATGAAGTTCAACAGGGACAAATGCAAGATACTTCACTTAGGCAGAAAAAATGAAATGCAAAGATACAGAATGGGGGATGCCTGGCTCGATAGCAGTTCGTGTGAAAAAGATCTTGGGAGTCCTTGTGGAAAACAAGTTAAACATGAGTCAACAATGTCATATGGCAGCTAAAAAAGCCAATGGGATTTTTGCCTGCATCAATAGGAGTCTAGTGTCTAGATCCAGGGAAGTCATGCTACCCCTCGATTCTGCCTTGGTCAGACCACCCTGATTCCCCTTGTCAAAGGAGATGTTGACAAGCTGGAATGTGTCCAGAGGGCAACTAAAATGATCAAGGGTCTAGAGGACAAGCCCTATAAGGAGTGGCTTAAAGAGCTGGCCATGTTTAGCCTGAACTAGAGAAGGCTGAGAGGAGACATTATACCCATGTTTAAATATGTAAGGGGAAGTCATAGTGTGGAGATAGCAGGCTTGTTTTCTAATGCCCTAGTGACTAGGAAATGGAAAAATGGCTTCAAATTACAGGAAAGGAGATTCCACCTGAGCATTAGGAAGAACTTTCTAACTGTGAGGGCTGTTCAGCATCGGAACTCTTTGCCCTGGACTGTGTGGAGCCTTTTAAACAGAAGCTGGATGGCCATCTGTTGGGGATGCTTTGAATGCAATTTTCCTGCTTCTTGGCAGCGGTTGGATTGGATGGCCCACAAGGTCTCTTCCATGATTCTATGATATTACTTTTCAATCTTCTCTTATCCAAACTTACACACTCCCAGTTCCTTAAGCCATTTCTTATAAGGCTTGGTTTCCAGACCTCTTACCACCTTGGTTGCCCTCCTTTGGATACCTCCCATCTTGTCGATATCCTTCTTGAGCTGTACCCAGATTATAAACATTGTGTTCCATGTGAGCTCTGACCAAAGCAGAGAAGGGTACTATTACTTCCCATGATAGGGACATTATATTCCTGCTGATCCAGCCAAAAAATTCACTGCTTATTTGTAGCTTGTGTTTTACTATGAACCTAGGTCCTTTCACAAATTCTGTGATCAAGCTTGGTGCCACCTATAATATATTTGTGCAAACATAATGGCTTATATTTATCCTTGCTAAAACTTATTTGATTGATTTTCCAGATCAGGGCTTTTTAAACCTTTCCCACGTTCGGCCTTCTTTCTGACCAAGAATCTTTTACATGACCCCAGGTATATAACGATATTCAATGGGTATAAAAATCTGCTTTGAATTCCTGTGGGGTGAGAAAGGTGGGGCAGAAATGATGTAAATAAACAAATAAATACATCATTTACAGATAATAAACCAGCATATGCAAGGCTTGCTAAACTGGCTGGTTTCCCTTTTTGTGGAATACAGCTGAAGCATTTCCTGCAGTCTACTGTAAACATTGAATGTTGTTCCTAACAGATCTGTGTAAATGGGTGGCATTCTGAAATCTATTACTGCTGCTAAACTTTTTGTGACCGCAACATTGAGCTAAGGGGACCCCATTTGGGGTTGGGACCCACAGTTTACAAAGCAGTGCTCTAGATCATGTGATAGAAACAACACCCAGTTTATTGATTTATGATTGAAAATACTTCTCCAGTCCCAATGGTTTATTGGCATGAATAAACCTATGACTGTAGCCTGTGATGTAAAAGACACATTGTTGATATTTATTTTTAAACATGCTGAGAAATGCAGATTTACCACTGCTGCATCCATATTGCTAACCGGACAGATGTAAGCTAACAGCAATGCTTGGATCACTTGCACTATTCTTTAATACTATAGTTATTTTCCCCGCCAATTATACTTTGCTATAAATATGTGTGCCCTTAAGTTGATCCTAGTATCAGTTTCAGCCAGTTAATCAAATCATCTGCTGAGGTTTCAGGAATTATAACCCTCCCCTTTATTTATCCAAAATAAGATGGGTTTTCAACTCTCACTGGATAGATTTATTGTAAAATCAAGAGGTTTGTTTTAAGAATATACACCTTGCAGTTTGATCATCTTTGTGCCAAGGTCAGCAATTCCTGAGTTGAAAGAAATGGGGAGCCATGGGTGGACTTTGCAACGTTATTTCCATCTACTGAGAGTTCTGGGTTCAAGCAATTTTACTCTCATATAACAATGTACAGGGTTATAGCCCTAAATATACTACTAGGGAGGAAGCTTTAAGGAAGAAAGGCAGGTTATTTACAGGTAGACATACATTCTAATGAGGCATTCATAGTGCTTTGGAATAGCTCCTGAGTAGACAACTTTTCTGAGGTCTGTTTCAAATGAAAATATTATCTGGAATATTGCATGTTGAGGGGGTAGTCATGGGGATGTAAATTGGAAGCTACTATACACTTGCCTCCATGCCTCTGAAAATCTACATAAATGGTGGTATCTGGGCCACAAGGCAAGCCACTATAATTTCAAAACCTTTCCACAGGAGAACCTCCCTTGGGTGAAACTTCCAGTTCAAATGCTTGGGTGAATCTTGGACGTTTTGCCGATTGTTGTTGTTTGTGTTGTAACTTGTAAATTACTGGAAGTCAAATCTTTTCCAAGAGTTTAAGAAATATTTCCCTGAGAGTAAGCTTTACTAAATACACAGGGGATTCATTTGGGGTAAAAACAGCATAAAATTGGATTGCATACCACATAAGTTACATCAATTTCCATAGCTATGTCCCAGTTTAAATCCACAGTATGGTAATTGAAGAATGAGTGTTCCCTTATGCCTGTTATTACCACAAATGATGAGTGATTATTTTTGATTTTCATGTGTATGAGGATTTCTACAAGAGCAAAATGATTTTCTGATTGACAAATTTTGTGGCCAAATCCACAATCCCTCTCATATATGCACAATACTGGTGATTTTTAATTTTTTGGCAGCTGAAAGCACTGAAGGAACATATATCAACAAAATGTAGTATTACCACATCAAACTTAGAAGGGAGCAAGGCATTTTATGTAACAAAGTCTACTCAAGTAGCTTTTCAACTCCGATCTTCTATTTCATAATCTCATTCCAAATGTTTAAACAGTAGCTCCAAGAAATACAGAAAGCCAAAGTTAAAACTTGGCCTAGTTCATAGGTATAATATGATAAGTCTATGGAGGTCTGTTATTCTATGAGGGTAATATGAGTAGAAAACAAGTCCATAATCATGGATGAACTCATTGTTTGGTTGTGGATCCAACCTTAAAGGGATGCATTTTTGATGCATTTTTAAACCCAGCACTATGATTACAACATGATCTGAAATGGCTACCATTCTATGTTGCACTTAGGTATTTGTCATCTAGATTTAATCTAGATCTGTAACTGCTCTGCATTCAGTAATATGCATAGTTTTACCATAAGACTACATAAATGCAAATTGCCTTAAGAGCCAGTAGCCAAATTGAGCAAGTAGGCCATGAGCCTTCAAGTAGGACACAAGGTGGATGGCATTTCTATGTTTCCCATAAGAAAGCAAAGCTGCAACAATCAGAAGAAGAACCTCTGTGGCAATTCTTTGTCGTAGCTTTGCTTGCTGATGGGAGGAACTGGAAATGTCCTCCTCCTTCAGTCCTGGGCAGAAGCTGAATGGACTTTTTTTTGTCCAATCTGGCAGCAGGCTTTAAGATAGCCTGGAATGGGGCTCAATTAGGAGATACTACTTAGTTGCACATACATTACAAAGTAGCTAGTGCAGAATATTGCTGTAGACATTCTGATTATATCTTCTAAAGGGGGAATCAGGGTTGTCTGATTGCAATCTCAACACATATGTATTTTAGCACCAAAGCTGGGGAACCTGCAGCCTGCCAGAAGTTCTTTCCATCACCCTTCACTACCGGCCTGAATATCTACTGGTTCCTCAGTCCTATTTCCAACCTTTCAATATAGCAAAATGTGTCATCTCTGATTATTCTTATCATTTCACTTGTTCCCCCCACCAAACAACAGGAGTCTTGCTATCAATGGCAGCTCTGAAAATGGAGCATACTATAGAACAGGAAGGATCAGGCAGCAGCTGCAATGAGTTTCTCTTCGCTGCATTGGGAAGTTCCAATGTCTGGTTTGATTTGTAAGTAGACAGGAGTCCAGTTCATACAGGATTAAATAATATCAATCAACAACATCTGACTTAATGAAGTTTTATCCTCTATTTGCACATAAGGCCTTGATAACCTTGTTTACTATACCCTAACCCATTCCTCAACCCTCCAAGTAAAGAAAATACATGATTTTATAATTACAAGATGCAAGGTGATCAAGCATTTGACTAGTGATGGTGGCATCAGCTGAGATGTCTTGTTTTTAATGCAAAAAATGGAACCATTCCAAAGAATACACTGTTTAGCCAGCATTGCTTCTTGAGCCTGGTGTAAAATCAGTGGAGTCCTTGGAAACAACAAATGCTTACAAACAGATCCAGGTGTGAGAAAAAAAATCTAAAAATTAGGGAGGGGGGCTCTACATTGTTCCTATTGCATTAATACCAAAAGATCTTACAATTTAGCAGCCACTTAGTTACTTTTGGTAGGGTAGCCATCACACAAGGGGCATGCAAACAGCCAGAGAGTTCATTGCGTTTTGCTTTACATTTAGTGCTGCAGCTGATTCATGTAGCTCCTCTTACCATTCTCAAAAACCTCAATGTTTACCCAAATAAAAAGGATACTGAACTGATGCTGGAAGAGCAGCAGGTACGTCTACATATTCAGCACACACCAATAGGAAACACTCAGAAGTTGTCATATTATGGGATAATTAAAAAAGTAAAGTTTTTTTTTTCTGTGTATCACTGTCAATGCAAAGTCCCAGTGAATCATGATGTCCCTTGACGTTTTTGTTGCTGATTTCGGATGACCTCCAACTGTTTTTTGCATTGCTGGTAGTATGTAGAAAGGCTTTTATTTTCATCTAAAAGCTTTTTATGTTCTTGCACCAGACGTGATGTATTTTGCTGGTCTTTTTCATCCTGGTCCAGTTCTGCTATTAGTTCCTGCCTAAATTGAATTGAAAAAATAAAAATAAAGTGAGAATCTAGACAAAAAATATTACACACACACACAGCGAGAGAGAGAGATTTAATGTTGTTCATTGTAATCCAAAAACAATTATCTGTTGAGTCACACAGTGACCTGATCATATACAGTGGGTTCTCCATATCAGTGGGGTCTGAATCCACAGATTCAACCAACCACAAATTGAAAATTTTCAATTATTAAAAACAATTAAAAATACTGGCTTGATTCAATAAAATGTACTCATTACTCCCCTACTGTACTTCGGATAAGATCCAAGATGAAGCCCCTTTCACCCTGAATGAGGTGGTTCACACACACATCTCTCTATATGCAATTTTCTGACTGATGTATTCATTGGGGGGGGGGGGGGKTGTTATGTAATTTTGAAACCATGGCAAATGTTTTCCTCCCACTTTTCTCAAAGGGGAAAAATTTAATACTAAGCACTCTTTTTAGACAGATAGCCACATTCTTCTTTAGTTAGCAACATGGGTTATAGTTTGATGTCCTTGTAATGAGAGACAGGTATCTAGAAAAATGTATTATGGAAGACCAGTATTCATAAATGGTCAGTCTACCAGTCTGACATTAGAGGAACCTAAGGCAGGTGTGATGTGATGCAACATATGTAATGTCATGCATTTCCATATGAGGTTTTAGACACAATTGAGGATAATAAAACCAATGAGGCATAATTGGTTAAGCGTTGGACTATGACTCTGGAGAAGGAAGGTTTGAATAAGAAAACCCCATGATAACTCAGGGTAACCATAAGTCAGAAACAACTTGAAGGTACACAACAGCAACAATATCCGATGCATTGTTAGTGATCTGGCTAGACTCCCCCTCAACAGCCAGTATGTCCCATGATGCAGCAACACTGAAGAATTCAAAGATTTTTATTTACTAACTCACCCTAGTCAGAAAATTATCTCAGCAGGCCTAAACATGATTAACCTTTGGGTGATTTCAATGCTGCTATCTATATAGTGTGATGTGAATCTGAACTTGGAAATATTAAGTAATGAGCAAGTTCCAGTGGCATCTTAATAAGGACAAACTAAATGTAATGGAAAACGTGTGCTTGCCCCCTGGAGTCACCTCTGTCTCATTTTCCTCCCATATCTCCTCTTAATGTGTAGTTTCAAGTGTCTGTATAATGTGACATCCTACCACAAATTTCCTGGCCTCTGGAAGCAAAGGCAGGAGCAGTGAATCACATAATGGGATAAACAGGAATGGGCAAACTTCAGCCTTCCAGGTGTTTTGGACTTCCAATTCCCATAAATCCTGATAGCCTACCGGCTGTTAGGAATTGTGGGAGTTGAAGTCCAAAACACCTGAAGAGCCAAAGTTTCCCCGTGCTTGGGATAGAAGATAGGGGTGAAACTACATATTACTAGCAGACAGGAGTGATCAGAATTTAACAAGGACACGTATTACACAATGGTATAATAATCCATACTTTTTCTTGTTAAGTAAGTGAGTAAATATCTGATGCCATTAACATGCCGCTACCAAACTTCTTTTACAAACCTTAAAAATTAGCAAAACCCTCAGAATAAAATTGAAAAAAACTAATTCGACCTAGCTAAAGATATACTAAAAGATTATCCTAGATTCAAAGATAGTTTAGGTTTTGTCAACTTTAACCATTCTAAAAATAGTTCATGTTCTATGTAGAGATGAACTTTAGCTAAAATAGAGGCAAGAGTCACACAGACTATTTCTTTCACAACTGTCATTTCACTTAATTGATGAAGTAAGCATTCAAAACTCTCCTGGACTCTAATTTTAGATGACCAAATATCCCAAGCACAGTTTTAGAGAATTATTTTGTCAATGGACTCTCTCCCAGCCTCAAAGATACCTTCTGGGTAGTGCCTGCACTTCTTTCGCAGAAAGGATGGACAACTTCCCAAGATTAAAGGACAGGGATACAGCACTGGCTGGTAAAACCTAGAGGAGAACACATCCTCTCCCTGGCACCAGAAAAATTGGAGTAATTTTGATTTCAAAATGGTGCCCAGGGATCCACACCTTAGCTGGCATTCCATTGGTTAGTCTCATATGTAGGCCCATTTGAAATACTGATGAATGGTCAGCATGTAGATAAATCTAATGGATGTGTAATCAGGACTAAAACTGAATATAGGTCCTTGTTTATCAGGATGATCAGTCCTGACAGCCCAAGATTTTTGTTGGGGGTCGGGCGCTTGTGAGCTAAACCCAGTATGTCCCTTTCGCAGCCCCATTTTACTGAATGCAACTCCCCTACAAAAGCTTTGAAGAACTACTTTCAAGGAACCAACTAACTTGCAAGTCTAATCTGCCTTTTTGAATACAAGGATGCTGGGAAACACATTTACCACAAAAGGGCAATACATCAACCTCAACTTCTTTTTGCCCTGGACTAGTCAGTAAACAGTCCTTGATACACTCAGAGGAAGGCGAACTGAAGTGTATCACACAGGAGCCTTAAGATATTTCTCTTTAAGCGTCACGAGGGCCAGGGGTTTCTTCCCAGAAACAACATGTCGCAACTTAGAATCACAGAGTTAAAAGGGACCCCCAGGGTTTACCAACACATGAACACACAACATCTACTTAAAAACCTCAACAGAAAGGTTTGCTTATTGCTGTAACAGGTAGTATTTGTAATTACATGGTATTAGAAGAGAACATTGTTTGAGCTTAGTACAAGATGCAAAACAAGAGCACATGGGCAAAACCTGATTGCCAAGCCTAACACAAACATATTCATTAATTTAGCCAACATTAATCTAAATCCCAGTGATTTGATGGGTCAGCTCCAGTTGGGGACAAATACATAGTGGTTCTTGTCCTTATGCTAATATTTTAGCTCTTATACACTCAAATAAAAACAACAACAATTATGACAATGTTTTGTTTTTATGGACCTGTCCTCATAGCTCAAGATATAAAGACAAAACAACCATAAACATACTGATATTAAAAACAGAACAAAGATTGAAACACACATACGAATACAATGTAAATTTAAAATTCATAGTTTAAAACTGACTGGATACGTTTGTGGGAAGAGATAGCTTTTTAATTGTATTTGAAATTGTGATAGCTCATTTAACTGTTGATGCAGTTCTGGCAGGTCATTCCACAGTCTAGGGGTGGCTGATGAAATCAATTCCTTTAGGGATTTTCCCAATTGTTTCAATTTAGTCATAAAAAGAAATATGGCCAGAAATATGAAAATGCTGATATCTGTGAATCAATGCTGACAGTTACTTCTGATGTAGTTACTTTCTTATGTCATACTTCACTGGAATAAATATTATCTACTCATGATAACAGAATATATTTTCAACTTACTTTCTCTGTAACAGCAATGCTATTTCTGTCTGAACTTTCATATATTCCTGTGCCATTTTACAGTGCTGTTCAAACACAGCCATAGATTCTTTTGAGTTTGGACATGGTGCAAGAGGCTGAAAATAAAATCAGATATGTTCAGTTTCACAGATTTGTAAACACACAAATTAAAAGAACTAACAAGAAAGCAAAATGAATATTAAGAGGTATCATTCAACAAGGAAAAAAAGAAACTGATGAGGAAGACCTGGAGAGACCAACCCAGATAAGAGTTAACAAATGGTCAAACTTCAGTTTAGTTCTTTCACAAACTGCTACCAGCACAGCTAAATTTAACAAATTAATGAAGATATGCTATACAACAGAACTAAATATATATCATTCAATTACTCTCCGTAAGTACTTTCATTTCTTGTCCAAGATTGGAGGGCAATGAGCAATCAGCTACCCTTCTTCTGCACCATATCACCTCAAGTATGACCATATTGGATTCCCACTATCTACTTTTAGTTAGTTTATTCAATGCTTAGACCATAGGTCTTTCACATACAAGGTGTTCACTATCTACTTATTTTTAATGTCTGGCTTTATGGGCTAATTTGGAATTGAGCAGGACCAATCTTATTTGATAGAGGACATGGTGAAAACAGGTTGAATAAGCATAGCCCTAACATAAAACCACTTCAGAAGAGAGCAAAACTGAATCCAGAAGTGGAGAACTGTAATAATAATAACAAACAATAATAAAACTTTATTTATATCCTGCTACTATCTCCCGGAGGGACTTGGGGTGGCTAATAAAGCACTCAAAGGTGCAAACACGCAAAATACAAAAATTGCAGAAACAATAACATAACAAAACCGCCAACATAAATATCTCACTTCACAAAACCCCTAGTAAAATCAATAAAATACAGTAATAGCTGCAGATATAAACAGCAGTAATCAATCTCAGGGCATTCCAAAGATGGAGGACCACCACTGAGAAAGCCCTTTGTCTTGCCCCCACCAACCACACTTGAGATGGAGGAGGGACTGAGAGGAGGGCCTCCCTGGTAGATCTTAGAACTACAGACTACAATCCCTTTTTTGGATAAGATGCTTCACCAAATGGTTGCCATACTGTTTCAATGTAGCTTCAAACTTTGATTTTGGGACAGAAACTGATTTGCCCTTCAGAATATACAATCCTACTAGCTAAAGTATTTAAAAATAATATTCAAATACATTTTAGCATTTGGAATCTATTTAGATAACATGTTACTGGCTGGATTTAAAGTGTTACTGGGTGTATTTGTAATCTATTTAGACAATTAGTTTTACTGGGTGGATTTTTTAAAAAGCAAACAAGTTTATCCCAAGCAATAACTATCATTATTTGATAATCTGTAGGATGAACACTTGTTGGCAAAAAAACCCCGCTATATGAACCTGTGCCATCCATTAGAAAAGAATCCCTGATAGGCAGATTGGTTCCTGGGGACATTTATGCTTTTTTAAAAAAATCGTGTCAGAAGCGACTTGAGAAACTGCAGAGACATTGCCCAGGAGGCACCCGGATGTGTTATCATTCTGTGGGAGGCTTCTCTCATGTCCCTGCATGAGAAGCTGGAGCTGATAGATGGGAGCTCATCCTGTCTTGTGGATTTGAACTGCCAACCTTCAGGTCAGCAGTTCAGCCAACACAAGGATTTAATCCATTGCACCACTACGGCTCTTGTGCTGCTCCAAACTGAATGATCGAGAGGTACCAATGCTTTTGATGACACTTTTAAAACTGTGGGCTAGATGAGAGGCCATGGTTGGCAAGATGCTCCTCTGTCACTGTGTTAATGCATTATAATTAGCCTTCTAATCTGTTGTATCAAAACAGCAACGCCATTCAATCCAGACATAAAAACAGAGAATACAGTTTCTATAGTTTTCAACATGTGTCAGACATGGTCAGTCAATTGCAAGAATACTTATACAGGCTAAGCTATGCAAATCAGGGTTATATCACACCTAAAACATGTATATTGAACATATATAAGGAAATCATAATAATGATTTACCTGCAACTGGTGATCTAATGTAAGATATGCCATTGGGATAGAATTATCAGATCCATTGGTATCTGTAGAAAAAATACAGATATTCTCAGGTTTACATGTTCAAAGTGGGGGGTCATTCTGGGATGACCCCAATTCTCACCCACTCACTCTGAGGGAATACAAGATTTTGCAGACTGGTCTGGGCTTGTTCAATAGAGGAGAACTGTTGTCAATCAATCAGCCAGATTATAAAATAGGAACATTCAGAACCAGTTGGAAACATATTTGCAAAACCCCCAACAACATTGTTTCCTTTGCAAGAACTACTTTGTGGAGAGAAATGAAGTCTCCAGCCAAATATGAGGCTCGATTTTTAAAAGAAACATTGACAAATAAAATGTATTATTTAAAAAAATAAATAAATGGGTTTTAGTGTCCATATATGGCAGTGCATAGTTTGAACTGCCTGAAAATAAATAGTAAAAAAGCAGCCCTTCCTCCCATTTAAATCTATCTCAGCTTCTGTAATAGAAATGGCCCTCAAAGGTCCACCCAATTATCTAAATTCTATGCGAACATATTGCTGCAATACCGAATGAGATACCTTTAAAGGATAATAGCCTTTATATCATATGCAGCACAACTGTACACATGTTAAACCATTCTAGATGCAGGTTATTAATTTTTTGTCTCAAATGACTAATTAGACAAGTCATGAAGGAGTTGTTGGTGTATTCAGTTTTTACAGAAGAGAACAAACATTTACTACATAAAAACCTGTTATGGATTTTGTTGCTAGTTGCTAGTGCAAACATAACTAAAAGGGAGCAATCCCAGAGTTTATCAGTACATTCCTGGCTAAGCAAAGCATGACCAATAGCTCTGAGAAATTTATCTTTTAAATGAAATACAAGAGAGAGAAAGCAGCAGGAAAACTGAAACTGTTCTGTATCTATTAATACTGCTTAATTCAGCAGATACAGTCTGGATTGTCAGCGATACAATAAAACTTGTGGAGAAATATGCTATCTATTGCTGCTTATTAAAAATAATTGGTTCGCCTGCCAAAAAAATTTTTTTTTTATTTTCAATGATCTGGCAGTTACACATTTCTTAATGGCATCAGTGAAAGCATAGCTAAGATAACAAGCATTCTCAAAAATGTTATGTCGTACAGTTCCAAAAGTTTTATTTTGTGTATTTTAATTTTTACTTGTAAGTTTTGTATTATAAGAAATGGAAATTTTATGTTATGTTTTAATTCTGTTATTTGTTATTTATATAACTTCTTTGATATTTGATATCACATTGTGGTGATCTATGGTTGTAAGATATTAAACCTCGAACTTGATTGAGGAGATGAACTTAAGCTTTATAACCATCTATGGGCCACTATTTTTTTCAGTTTACTGAACTGAATTTGAAAATGATGCCTGAAATAAACCTATCTATTGCTTTATTTCTAATTCAACCGACTGTGGTTGAAATTTGTAATCATCTTAATAAATTGTAAAATTGCTCATAAGGATTTAATAGATTGGTTTTTAAAGCATTTATTCTTAAGACATGCTGGATCTTAAATGTCCTTTTTAAACATTCACAGGATGTACATGCTCTCAGGTAACAGCAAAAGGTGGACACAGCTTTCATATAAGAAAAAAGAAAAAGAAAAGAAAGCTTTATCTGACTTCTCTCATGTTCTTCCCATCTAGGGTAAAAGAGTTTATGTACAATAGGTTTCCAGATGTTCCCCTAGCTAGATAACAGAATCAACTCAAGTTTCAAATCTACAGCAAAAGCCTGCACACAAATGTGCTACCTCTTTAGAAATTGTCCAGAGTTGAAAAATACCTTTTTAATGACAGAACTATAGTGGTACAAATCCACCTAACTCAGATAAAAGCTAGATACTGAACCTTCCCAAAAAGTATTTACTGGGAATGATACAGGTGGGCAATGTATAACTCAATACACCTTAAAAAAAACTCTGGTATTATAAAAACACAGCCTTCATATTTGCCAGATTTAGGGGCACAGAACCCAGTGGAAGTGAAAAACTACAGGTAAAGAAATTGTTACCTTTTTGCCTAAGAAAACACCTTCCCAGGGATTTCTATGTCTTCCAGCATGATTCTATAACAAACTCTTGCTGGAAGATGACCATGAAAAAGTAGCAGACGACCCAGAGATTCCTAATATATTACATGTAAATATGCTAACCTATGTTGTTTTGTAGCTGGACATGTTAGAGGTGTGTGTGAAGCAACAAAGGTACTGATTTGTATTACTGGTGACAACAACATTGTGTTCATCAGAGGCTGAGAGGCTGCACGGTGTGGTGGCTTGCATGCTGCAGACCACTTAGTCATGGAAACTCACTGGGTGAAACTGGTCAAGGCACTTTCTCTGATGAAGGCAAGGGTAAACTCCCAATGAAAATATCTTGCTAATAATTCATGACTTGAAAGAAAGAAATGTCTTGAAAGCATGCAAAAACAAATTTCAGAAGCACAGGAAACAAGTGAGTCTCACCATATTGGCAGCCATAAAAACTCTGTTATGGGAAAGTATTCATGATAATTATTGTAAGAACTGTTTTCCTCCAGGTTTGTTTTTAATGTATATATATATAGAACTTGCAAATGGTGTCCTTTCACATTTCTTTTATACAAAATACTGGCAGTGTCATAGTGTCTAAGACGGTTAGCTCCAGGAACTGAGGGGGTAGAAGGAGATATATCAATGGGTGTGCCTAAAATAAAATGGGCACTCGAAGTGCATTCTTTCTATGTCCCACCACCATCTCAGGAAAGTTGGGCAAGCAAGGAGGTTACATAGCTACTGCCTGCTCATTCTTTATGGAAACACAGAAGGAGGTGAAAATGCTGTAACTCTTTTCATGCATTATATTGTGCTGGACAAGTTAGGAAGAGCTATTAATGAGCAACAGCACAACATTGTGCTTTATGGCAGGTGCCAAACATTATTTATTACTGATTTAAAACTTAACATTTAAGTGCCTCCTTTCATATACACATAATTCTTATTTATTTATATTTATTTGTCCTTGTTAAAATAAATCATACAGCTTGTCCAATATTTCTCAAAGGAATGCACCATGACACCTACCACTCCCCACATCTACAAGAAGTTTACCTGTAGAGTCATCAGGTGTCCAAGGAAGACTGCGAGGCGGCTTTTCAGAGGTTGGTCCCGGGGTAGTGATCATTCTCACACTAGGACTAGATGATCTACTGCTGTTTCTGCTTTCCTATAACAAAACATTTTAAAAAGAAGTTACCACTAAAAGTACACTACTTTCAAATAAGATTGTGGCAAATACAACTGTGGAAGGCTAAGGGACTACATTAGTTTCACAGGGGATCATGGCAGGCTGTAATCCCCCCCCCTCCCCCAAATCAGCTCCTGCGAAACAAAAGAAAAGAAAACACAAAAGAAAATGTCTACATTTATTGCCCCCACATGAGGACAGTTTCATCATGTCTGGGAACCTTCCTGCATTGCCAGAGAATATTTTGGGTCATTTTGATGCAATTTTGAATCATTTTCAAGATAACAAATGCAGCGGTCTGGGGCCACATTCAGTGCTCATAGACATGTGGTATATTTGTTTTCCCTCAAATTATAATTGGTGGAACAGTTCTTGCATTTGGGGTATCCTTCTGTAAAGAGTAAAGATGCTTGCATCACAACTCAGGGATTGTTGAGCCAAAAAAACAAGGGAGTCAGAAAGGAGACGTGGGAAAGCAATGTCCCCTTGATCTCACTGGAGTCAATCAGAACTTTTTTTCCATGCAAATAGACAGTGCACCTGCTTCTAATTCAGACTAGCTCACAGTGGGGCAAAAAGTCCTTATTGCTTATTGGATTGGAAGTCCTTATTGGTTCTCATCTGGTTTAGTCCCTAATATCACAGCTATTTTTTTTTAAAAGACGATCATATATGTCAGGCTAAACTTTTGAAGGATGCACATCTAGTTGAGCTATCAAAGTTTACATCTATTCTGGTACTACTGTAGCAGATAAATGAAAACAAGATCACATGTAAAAATAGTGTCAGCACGCAAGATGACCATGGAATTCCAGGTTGGGCAAAATAAGTGATCTCCCGGGGCAAGATCACATCAGACAGTTTTCTATGCAAGGACGCTGGTCTATATGCCAGCCATTCTCATTGACACTCCTTGGACTGCCAAGTGACTTTGACTGCAATCTGAAAGGAACCAGGAAGTTTCTAGAAGTTGCTGCCTTGCTCCTTGCTTGTTGATGCCAAGTCATTATAGATTTCAATATATGTTTGTAGAAATGTGGATATGGGTTCGATTAAGATATCATGGGATTTATTTTTACTATTCTTGAATATTCAGAAATGATGTTTTCCATGCAATGAAAACATCAACATTATGACTGATGAACATTACAGTTGCCAAAGTTTCTATAGAAGTGGGTGTCACTGTTGCTATGAAACTATGGTCTCTCTTGCAACTATTGTGGTTCCTATTTTGTTCCCAGAAGGCCAGTGATTCTATTATGAATCAATTCAACTTGTAACTGTTCTCTATTAAGATGTATAGAGTGAATTCCCTAGTGAAGTTAGATTGGCTCCCTCCCTTCTGACCTTCAGAGAAAAAAAAAAACTAAAGCCATGGTTGTGGGAACAAGTTGTTGGTCAGTAAGCAGTGCAGTAAGAGACTACAAGTAACAAAATGATGACTCAGATTGGCCCTGGAATATGATTTGGATTTTGTGATTGTAACTGATGTTTTAGTGTTTATGTTTTAAATTGGGTTGATATTAATGCAGTTGTTTATTTCCTGATATGTATATGTATATACGGCATTGAATTTTGTCTTTGTGAGGCCGCCCTGAGTCCCCTTTGGAATGAGAAGGACAGGGTACAAGTGTGGCAAATAAAATAAAGAAATAATAGAGGATCACATGCACAGTGCACTTGTATCTGCAGAGGATACATTCCTGGACCTTGTGTGTATATGTAAAACTATGGATAATAGCAAACGCTATTATTTTCAATTGAATGAATGACAAAGGAATGCCAAAGAGGGTGTTATCTTATACACGAGGCCCTAAGTGAATAATTGAATAAATGAAACTGTGGATATGTGATACCATCTATCATGGTTCTGTGGATACAGCAGTTATACTGCATGTGCCTGTGCATAGGCATTCATTTGCATGAGTTTGTGAAGTTATCTTGCCTCAAAAGGGAAGGCAAATTTTATCCCTAATTCAAATCTGCAATGTGTGATGGCATAGCTCAATGAAGTGCTCAGAAGTTTCATAAAAACTCTCAAAACATTTCTATCAATATATAGACACTCTCAATAATGGTACTTTAAGAATCCTTAGTGAAAGACAGTTACACGAAATTAATAGTATGCAGGGTACAAAAACACAGAATCACAGAACCAAAGAGTTGGAAGAGACCACAAGGGCCATCCAGTTCAACCCCCTGCCCTGCAGGAACATAGATTGTTACTGTAAAGTAGAACACATGACAGCTTATTTTCCCACTGCCTCCAATGCTTTCACTATGAACCATCAATACCATTATCCTGATTATGCACACATCAACGTGTCTGGTCTATGATTTTTGTACTACTAGGTAAAACCTAGATAAATCTGAGCATCTATATGTGTTTCAACTATCAAATTGACACCCACACTAAAATGTTTAGTAGTATGAGATGAAAATCGAAAATGTACACTCTAATGCACATTTACTTGTGCATAAATCTTATTGAATTACCCAAAGCTTACTTCAGTGAACAATTTTACAGATGCACATTAAAGGTTTGCATACATGAAAGTGAAAGTATCACATAGCACAACCAAACATTTACTTTCTAAAAAAATTAAATATAAATATAAATATATATACAATTAACACATACCAGTTATTTCCAAAGGATAGTCATAATAAAACTTGCATTGTAGTTTTATTCATTTTATTTATTTGGAAGCCACTATCAGTTGTTTCATCCRCAACTAAATATGCAAGGATTATTTTTTTTTAGCAAAACACAAGCAAAGGAACTGACCAGAGAAAATAAGATATCATTCTATAGCTTTTTTTTTTTTTTGGGGGGGGGTGCTAATTAAAGGGTTTGAATAAAATTCAAAGGGACCCTATGCAGCCGCATGCCACACATTTAAATATTAATGGTATAGTACAGGTATTTGGATTAGGAGAATGTTCCCTTACAACAGTGGTTCTCAACCTTCCTAATGCCGTGACCCCTTAATACAGTTCATGTTGTGGTGACACCCAACCATAAAATTATTTTCATTGCTACTTCATAACTGTAATTTTGCTACTGTTATGAATTGTCATGTAAATATATGATATGTAGGATGTGTTTTCATTCACTGGACCAAATTTGGCACAAATACCCGATACACCCAAATGTGAATATTGGGGGTTGGGTGGTGGTGGTGGGGGAGTTATAGTTGCTGCGATTTAGTTAACCTACAATCAAAAAGCATTCTGAACGCAACCAATGATGGAATTGAACCAAACTTGACACACAGAACTCCCATAACCAACAGAAAATACTGTAGGGGTTTGGTGGGAATTGACCTTGAGTTTTAGCGTTGTAATTCACCTACATCCAGAGAGCACAGTGGACTCAAATGATGATGAATCTGGACCAAACTTGGCACAACTACTCAATATGACCAAAAGTTTGGGGAAAACAGACCTTGACATTTGGTAGTTGTAGGTGCTGGGATTTATAGTTCACCTACAATCAAATAGCATTCTGAACCCCACCAATGATAGAATTGGGCCAAACTTCCCCACAAAACCCCCATGACAAACAGAAAACCCTATGTTTTTCTGATGGTCTTTGGTGACCCGATACCCCCCTCATGACCCCCCCCCCAGGGATCCCGACCCCCAGTTTGAGAAACACTGCCTTACCATTTTGATGGTGTGATATCCCACCTGAGAGGAATTAATATTTCACACAAGTCTTCTTAAAACTTTAGACATCTTTCAATGAACTTTCTCTGACGTATCAAAATGTACCCTCCCCCCACTTTTTTTTTTACCTGGTTGGAGTCTGTTCCAGCCACACTAAGATCTTGAATGGATCTGCGCCTCTGTTGTCCGTTGCCTGCTGGTGAAGGAGAGCGAAAAAACAAAACAAAACTGAAATGCACTCAAACAAGAAGGGTGCAACTGCTGCAGAAAGAGCTTGGAATTTGTACCGATCCAACGACAGGGAAAGAAAGAGTATGTTTGTATATGGAGTAGGAGGAGGGGGTAAGAGAGCACAGAGACAGCTGCGAAGTTTTAAGTTTAAAAAAAAAAGGAAGAAAAAAAAGAACACCCTGCATGCTGGCGTGTCAACAGAAAGCATATCTTAATACAATAACCACTCCTATCCCATGAATAGCTTCTGCACTTTCCTTCACCATCTTCTGTCACATTGCTTTAGCCAGTTTAGCATTGGGGGGAGGGGGGGATATCAGGGGCTGGCATGATGATATCTATTTCAAGGAGGTTACGTTATGGAGATTTTAAGAGCAAGTCTACGAAGATAACATGTTGCCTGCTATAATCTCACTGGTTTGGGTTAATCAATGAAACGAGGAAATGACAGGGCTGACCTAAATATGTTCTTTGTACTTTCCATCCTAAGAATTGTAAATTCTACATTCTACTCTAGTTATAATATTGCATCACTTCCAATAACCAAGTACACTATAAATAAATTACCATATTTTCAAAAAGACTCCCCTTTGACTACAGCACTACACTTTGTCAAACCTGTTTTAAAAAGTTACTGATGGCTACAAAAAAGAGTAATCAAAACATAGTTCAAATCTGCAAATCTATTTTGTTTTAAAATAGAAGGCTGTATTTTTGGTCTATTGGATTGGTTTTTTAAAGGAGTGTTATTACAGTGCCTCATTGTTTAGACTGCTCCTGAGATGAGAGATCAGCCTTCCAGAAGGAAACTTCAACTTGTGGCAATTAACAGCTGACACAATACCCAGGATTCTTTGTCTTTGAAAGCTGCATTACATAACTTCAAAAACAACACCAGACTACGGATAACACTTACAGCAGGCACTCCAACAATGACAAGCACATGCACAAACATCCAGGGTCCCTCAATTCATCATTCAGAGTTTTTATGACATGCCGCTTGCCAGTAATCAGAGGTATCAACTCCTTGTGTACAGCTTTTTAAAGGATGAAGAAAAGTCACCTAGGAATGTTTTAATGTTGTATGCTTCTAATATGCATCTAAATTAAACAGGATATAAGTAAAGGATATTTAAAGCATATCTTCTTCCATAACACAATCTTTCTTTTCCTTTTTCCCTTTGCAGCTATCTATACCAATGAAAAACTTCCCAAGAGATTAGGTTAAGTGGAAGGTGGGAATTTATTAAAAGGGGGTAATTCTATACAATCATATTATGCAGCCCTCAAAATTCAGGGGGCTATAGAGGAAAAGGAGCAGAGGAGTAAAAACTGATAGGACAAGCTGTCTTCTGCTTATTATGCCATCAAATTCAACTCCTTTTGCTTCTCAATAAGTAGTCTATAATGTGCACACTGTATTTAACTTGCATTTCACAAAAACCCTTAAAATTTGCAAAATTAGAATAGTTTTTCCACCAAATGGTACTCAAGGCAGAAATTTTTGATGCTGATAATGCACTTTGAAAGTGGTTCCAAATTTCAGGTCCATTTCTGAAAGAAACAAGTTACAAAGTACTGCAAAACACAAGGGATCTACCACATAAGCCTCCAAAGATCTACCCAAGTGATCAGCTTAATTGTGCAGCAGTCTGACATGACACAAAAGGAGTATTAATTGAAAATTAGTTGGGACATTTAGGATAAACACCATTCATTAACAGATTTGGGCAGTTGGTCCACACCTTCTGCAATTGTTCATGGATCTCTAGATGATCCACCCATGACTGACATAAGAATTATGCGCACGTTTCATTCAACTGCCCCATTCCAAAATTAGCTCAGCTGAAATAAACTTGAAAAAATATCTGGAATACCCATTCTCCTTTCAGATTAGCAACATTTGTGACTCTAAGGAACCCAGCACATGTGTTGCTGAAACATTATACGGTGGCCCACTAAAAAGTTAAAATAATCAGGGTGGGGTAGAAGTAAATGTGAACATGAACATTTCTCCCCCCAAAATTCAAGAAGGTTGTGCTCAGCAGGAGTGTTTTGAGCGAGAAACCTTCAATCAGCAGCAAGAGGTTAAGGCAAGCTTTTTAGGCTAAGCATCCTTGTTACTGTTAATTATTACAGGCACACAACAAGCAGCGCAAGCACAGTCAAAGCAGCAGAATATCAATAAATACTCATTGCTCCTGGAATCATATTCGTACCAGCGACAAAACCACACATCTTCTAGCTAATATGCACCTACTGTTGGATACATTCAATTGTTGTTCACCTGTTTGCCTAGAATGCAAACAGCAGAATAATCCAGTTATGAAAATTGTACAAAAGTGTTTCAGAGGCCACAAATTCTTTAGGTCTTAATGTTTATTTCTTCCTCTTTAATATTAAAAAAGCATTTTTAATTCTGATATGTACAATAATTCCATCTTCCTATACAATTTTCATAATGTAATTTTTTTCTTCTCCCTCTCCAGTTCCTGAATTCATCAACCTTATCCTGGTCAATCACCATATGTTGTATCTGAAGTATCTTTGTAATAATTACATACTCTCAAACATATTTTCTTTTATGTGTCCATTTAGTCTGTATGTTATTTTTTAAAAAGTGCTATGAACTTTTACACTTTTCTATTTACAGTGCTGATTTTTGTCCCTCTGTTTTTTTTTTTTAATGATGGAATTGCTTCACACTAGAGAATGAATCCACTTTAAATCCAGTTTCTGCCTTCTGCAGAATTCTGGGGTTTGTAGTTTAGTGAGGTTGTTAAAGGCTTCTCCCTAAATTACAAACCCCAGAATTCTGCAGGAGGCAGAAACTGGATTTAAATTGGATTCATTTTCTAGTGCGATGAGGTTATAAGAAAGACAAAGAGATGATGGAATGGGTGCAAATTTTCTTTCGTCCATTCTTTGTTTTTTGGTAACTTTTTCCTTAGGTGTTGTTTACCTTTTTTAAACCATTGAATCTCTCATATATCCTAACAACTGCTTTCATAGTATCCCAAAGGAGGCCTGAATAACAATTAGATCTAGTGTTCAGTTCATAAAAGTTTTTCATATATTGTTTCATTCCTGTTGTCACCATTAAATGACTGTTGAAAAGAAAGGTTCTGTTAAGAATCCAAATTGTGTTTTTAGTTCTTTTTATTCCTGACCTCACAGCTTGCTATTATTGCTGTATGATCAGAACATAAAGCTTGGGCAAAACACTTTATCTTTGAATTTTATGATATTAGTAAATGATGTATTCTAAAACAGCTAGAAAAGGGGACTCCTTTGGTGACATTAAAACTAATCAATTTTATCCTCCCATGAACCTTAATGGATTATAATCTACTTCTTCAGGGCACATCTACACTGACCACATAGGTTGGTGTGTGCACGGATCAACCCTGTGGGAGTTAAATGCTCTACAGGGCTGATCTGGCTTAACCCAGGGCAAAGCTAATTTGGAGGAAAGCATGAATCCTGCACCGGAATTCAGGCTCTTCCCCATATTAGGGGCAGTCAAGATAGCTGGAACTGGTGGCAACTGTCTTGACTTTCATATTGCGTTCTTTGGAGGTTAGTGGCACAGGGACATGGGATGGCAATCCCCTGTTATCTCCTCCTTCCATGCCCCAGCTGCAACACCCCACCTAGGGACAGATGGGGCATGGGAGGCACTCTGTCTGATGTCAGCCAGTGCCCACACACTGAGTGAGATGGGAGAGCCTGCTCAGCTCTCTCAGTGAGAAGGTGCTCTGGCGGACCTCAGGCAGAATGTGGAAGACATTGGCAGGTTGATGTTGCAGCTGGGCACAGCTATGACACACCGGGAAGGGGTTCCTGTATGGTGGCTGCCCAACAGCACTGAAACACATTCATTGCCACTGGGCATTTGGGACTCATGGTTGCCTCCTAGACGGTTGAGGGAACCCAAGCAGGGGTGCCATGTGAGGCTGATCCAGCATCCAGGGTTCTCAAATGTACTGTTGCATGGCATTTGGTCTTGATGGCTACTACAAGCCTGTAAAGATTATCAGGTTACTTCTGTTCTACTGAGAAGCATGCTAGTGTATTGCTATCATAGCCCTATGATTCAAATTGATTCCCAGATGTGAAAAACCAACTCCCAATCGTACCAAAAAGGGTGTTCAGGGGTGTAAGGAAGCGTAATCCCACCTAAATGGGATTACCAAAATTAAATAAATATGTATGTTACAATCCTTTAAACTCCTTCTTCAGTGAAGTACTTTATTATTTCAGTGTTCCCTGTTGTGAATATTCACTCTGTTTGTCCTATACCGGATCAAACCACCGATCTCCAGTCTTTCACTACTGGGATCCCTAAAACCCCCTTTGTTAGATTCTTTTTAACACAAGCAATCTAACAAGGTTTCACCTTCAGCTCCCTTGCTGAAGAAATATTCACAAATGCTAAGAACTAACTGAATCTATACTGCTTCACCACACAGAGCCCTAACTGACTCCGCTCCTCTTCTCAGGGTCTCATCCTCCTGACTACCCATTAACTGTTACTTTCAAACCTTTTTCTCCTTAAGCTCCGCCCACCTTCTCTTCTGCCTTGTCACCATGGCAACCTATCTCTCACAGCTAGGCCATGGCCACGCATGTAAAACATAAATACAGTTTAAACACAGTACAATAAACCCTTTATAATAAACACTTCTCTACAAGGGGATTTTCAGAATTTGTTTCCAATGCAGAAAAGAAAATACTTTGAGAAACTTCCCAGTTCACTTTCCTGCCTCTGTGCACCCAAAAGCCTCAAAACCCAATATAAACCCAAATCTTGTATCACACAATTCAAATTTACAAGTGGCTATTGAGATTTTTACAGGGTCAGATTTCCTGACATGAATATCTGTCAAATATTCAAAGATTAGACTTATGAGAAAACATTAATTTCATATTGATTTTTTATTCATCTGAAGTGGTTAGATCTAGCTTACAGGTGTTTAAGGGAAAATAACTTTGCTGATATTAAAAATGCTGCAGAACTATATTCTTTCAGAGCACCACTGTTCCTGAGGATGTACCCCAAGAAGTATCAAACCACTTGCTTGAAATTCCATATCACTTGGGCAAGAGGCAAGGGTGTTGGCACTTGTATGCTGGCCAAGTGGCATTACATCTTGCCTATTAAGAATTCCTTTCAAGGCTTCCTTCACCACATCCTAATATACTGTCTCACATTGTTTTCATGTTTGACTCAGGATGTGGATAAACTTCTCAGAAGTAATTGGTACATTAAATGTGCTCAGTTGTCTGGTTAGAAATAAAGGCTATGCATTAAGGATGCTTCAACTGACAAGTCTACAGTGACAGTTTTATGGAAAACATTAATTACTCCATAGGCATCATTTCTATTTATTGAAAAGTTATACATTTTGAATGATTATAGGTTATGGTCCTAAAAGGAGTGGATAGGTATGTTGATAGAAAAAGAAGGAAACCTTTTTTCTTCTTCTCCTATCCATGTACCCATCCACTATGCAGAAAGGGTAAAGGGCATGCTAGTCTGATTTTTAGGTCCTCCTATTTTTTCTAACCCAAGAGTGTGGTCACACGACAACAGAAGGAACTGTATGAAATATGTACCTGATATAGTGGTTAAAACTGGGGAATAATGAGATTATTATTTCAATCCATTCAAATTCTTGGCTTCATCTATGTATTCAATGTATCTAAGTATTCAGCATTATTTAAAAACTTCTACAAAAGATAACGGCAACCCGTTATCACATTTTGTAGGAACAAGCATAACATGTTTTATCATTTTCATCACTCTTAATTTTTATTCATATATTCCTATAGTTGTAATGCATTTATTACACATCCTGCCACATAAACATTTGTTTTATTATGTTTGTATTGCATTTGTAAGAAAGAAAATCTATCTGTAACATGTGCATGTATACCTAAGCATAACTTTAGTTATTCCACAGCTACTCAAACTCCTTTGTGTAAAGTATTTTGTTGCATTAATGTATACCATATGCATATGTTTTGTTGCATTAATGTATACCATATGCATATAGCTTTACTATACAAACAGTATATATCAGATCACTTTTTAAGAGCAGCATTATCTTCATAAAAAGAGATCCACATTGATTTCAAAGATAGTAATACTGACTAGAATTTACTAAGAAAGTCATCAATGTGTACCTGAGAGTTATGCACTCATTGCTGGTTTGGATTCCCAATCCCTATATATTGAAAATTTCCCAATCCCTACTTTATGCTTTGACTACTGCTCAGTAAAAGGGAAAATGCTAGTAGCTGCACAGGTTATGTAGTTAAGTAGCTAATAGAGAACGTTGGTCCTTATTTTTACACTGGAATAGCAAGAAACCAATGGAAGGAAGTTCTTTCTATACTGTAAAGATGAACACATGCCCTGGATTTATTCATATAAAGAATTCTGTGATGTTGGAATGAAAGCAAAAACACAGAAAGATGTCATTTCCTTGTTCGTATCTGACATGCTGGTGTTAGAGAGTAGTCATTCATATATAGGAGCAAGAAGTATTTAAAGATTTGGCCATTATCCCAGAATCAGTGTCAACAGACCCACGTAGCTGGTATTTGATACCTGGTTTGATGATCTCTGGGACATCCAGAATGTTGCCAAACGAAGCAGTTTTACGATGGCCTCGTTTAGGTTTGGAAGACGCTGAAAAAACACACACACACATACAATACACATGCAAACGACTACAATGGTGACACAAATCATTCAGACTAAAAACTCCTTTTTTAACTGGATTTGGTTAAACTAGGATACATGCAAAACAGGACATGCTGAATGAACTGCACAGCTTTGCAGTCATGCTTATAACAGTAAAGCACTTGTTAAGAGCAGCATATATAACTAGGGTCAACCATGTAACACAGCACATTATTAGTTACAGTTAGACACACAAACATCAAATTAACAAAGAGCAATGGTAATGAAGGAAGGAAATACCAAAACCTAGCCACAAGACAGGCTATATTGTCCACTGGCTCCACTTCACTCATATGTTCACAAAAGAAATTACCTACAATACAGTGCAAAACCTCTATCAAATGTGTACACTCCAAAAGAAATACTTCAGTCTAGCATTACTACATTTAAAGAGTTTCTCTGTTTTTAAGTAGAACTGGATGTTTTGAAAAAGAGCCAGAATTAACCAATGCCAAGAATATTAAGCTCACAGTTACACAAATTAAGTGATTAAAATAAAACAACACAAATATTTACTGGACACATAATTTCTAATGTGATGCTTCATAATTAATTAAAGCTGTTAATTGTACCAGTTAACATAAAAATGTATGATGATGATGATGATAGTGGTAGTATAGTAGTTCAACATGTTAAAAGCTCCTTATTAGGAATATACTTGTCAATGCAGTAAATATTCTAGAGAAAATGTATCACTGTTTTGGTTCAGTACTTGCCTAAGGCATTCCCAACACAAGCTACCAAGAGAGTAATTTCTGGGTTTGGGTGTGGGATTGACAACTGAACAAGGGTAACATTCTTTGTGGTTAAAGATTAAGATCTGTTGCTTTAGTAACTTTACCTCAAAGGCTACTTGTGCAAGAGTGCACAATCACAACTTGCTGCTCCCATTGGTCTTCTAATACAAGGAACAAATCTATCCTTAAAACATTTCATTTATTCAAGTGACAATAGCTTTTGATTTATTAAGCAACGGTATCTGAGAATGCTATTTGCTAAACTAGGGGCTGCAGTGGGAAGAGGAAATAGCTTAGATTCACTCTTTCCCACAATTTCGGAACTGAGTGGAAACCGACATGGAAAATATTTCCAATGACAGAAAATTATTTAGGATCCAACCCACAATGTTTCCTCACTTGAAGAATAACTCATAACTTATCATAACTATCCCAAAATAGAACACAATTCATTAAAACACAGCCAAGATTAGTGTGAATCCATTTTATTTTGTTTCATGGCTACTGTTGCCTTATGTTTGCACCAGTTATCTCTTCCAAGTCACCACTGGGGCTAATCTTTTGTCTACCCCCTATTCACCTTCAGATGGTCTTGGGGGCTTGGGAGAAAAAATCACTACATTTGTGGACAGTTTGTGTTGTTTCGGATGGTTCTGAGGGAAAAAATGAACCTGAAAACCTGTAGTATTTTTAAAATAATAATCAGTGGGTTGGGGGCCTTTGAATGCCACAACAATAGAGTTCAGGAGCAATATGTGGCACTGGGCAAAGCATCATATGTCCTAAGAGGGATGTGTTACAGGCAGATGAAGATGCTGCGTTTAAAGAGGAAAGGAGCTTAATTTTGTAAAAGTGTGACTTTAATAGCAACAATCACAGGCATATTTAAAAAAAGGAATATGAGAGCACAATAACTGCATTTACATTTCACTGTCTGAAGTAGAAATTAACAGAAATTTTACTTCACAGAAAACCTAACTGCACCCAGTACCAACTTATTTCAAATGAGGTAATGGGACTGGATTCAGTAATATGTATAATTTTTTTTAGAAATCCTTATTTTCCTTTGGGGTGTTTCAGTGTTGCAATACAAGACACACTGGTAGACTGTGTTTGTTTTATTTTATTGTATTTTATATTGTACTTCATTTTTATGTTTTGTTTTTAGGGACTTTGTGCCATTTGTAAGTTTTTTGTATTCGTATATTGCGCATGATACGAAATCATCAATTTAAATTGGCTGGTGTTATCATTACAAGTGGCATAGAAAACTTACATGAGAGGAGGCCTGCCATTTCCTTGAAAAATGCTCAAAAGCTCATGGAGAAACCCAGCACTTTGGACCAATTAATTGAAGCTTTATATTGCAACTGTAAAGATATTACATTTGTTAGGCTATCTTTTTCAAGGGAAGGACCTGGAGGAAACCTGTGCTTACAAAGCTCTACTTCTGTGAAGTGCCTCAAGAGGAATTTAGAAAATGTCTACTATCCACTGCGGTCTCAGGAGAATCATTTTGGAGATAACTACATGAGGCTACTGTGCCAGCAACTAATGAATCTTACCCAAATTAGGATTTTAACAAGAAATCTAAAAACATCTAAGGCAAGAGTTCATGATTTCCTATATACTTAGCTTTCGCCCATCTCTGTTTCACAAGATGTAGTTATTTAATGGGTGTCTTTACCTGTGGTAGCAGTGATTCTTGCTTCAATTTCAGACATATCAGCACTCATTCGTTTGCTTTCTCCCGAAACAAGAGTTGACTGTGGTCTTCCACGAATGTCTGACAAACTTTCCACACTGCTACCGCGGGATGGAGGTAAACTCAAGCGGCCAGGCTCTCCCTGTAGAAAAGTGGCTGCTTTATACATTTGAAGTGGGTGAACAAAAATGCATATAGAAATATATTTTTTAAACTGCCACTTTTAAAAATTAAAATTTGTAAAATGAGATGAGAGTAAATCATTACTACAGTCCTTTAGAAGTGACAAAACAGCAAGATTATATTTCTGTTGAGGCTATATGTTCAGTAAAGATTTGGACCTGCTTTTTATTTTCATTGAAAGTTCTCAATAGGGACTTAATGTGGGCATTTGAAAAATTAATACAATACACTATACAGTCCCACAATCCTGATTTACTGAGTAGCAGCTGTGAGAAATGAAGGTCTACTATTCTGTCAATCAGAATACAGCATACTGATGTTTTCACTTCCTCCTGCAAGCAATTTCCGGCACAAGGAGGAAGTATGACAGAGAACCTGCTTTTGACTTGCGGGGCAGGAAACAGCAATCTGTTGCATCCTGATCGACAGGAGAAGAGACCTCCACCATTCACAGCAGCTGATTACTGCTGTGAGTGGTTGGGCCAGGAGATCTCATCTAGAACTGTGGCCAATGTTTACACATTCTTACCTGCTGCTTTGCTGAATTTTTCATCTGTTGGGCCAGTTTTGATTCTAAACGTTTAATGGTGTCATTGGTAGCAGTTCCTTGGAAATCATTCAGTTCCATATTGGCGTCACTCTTGTTACTGGTATTTGTGGAAGTCATATCCATGAATGAGCCTATAAAGGAGTAGCCATCTTTAGTTGAGTTCGGAGGGTTTTTTTTTAACTATCCCTTCAAACCTTTGTATAATTTAAGGCAAGAGGAACAAGACATCTACCGTAGAGATGGAAAAAATCCAGCCCTCCTGATGTTAATAGCCTTTGCAAGTATAATATACGGTGAAGAACACAAGAATGGCATTTCAACAGTGTAATAATCCCCATCCCATCTATGAAGAATGGCAGTGTTTCCATAGGAGAGGACACACTGTAAATACAAAAGATTTCAGAAGCTATCCTCCACATTTTTTTTGTGAAAGTCTATTTGAAATCCTGGAAAATCACTATGACTGAGCAGCAAGGACACTAGACTTCATGGGATCAGTGATCTGTTCTTCTGCTATCTATTCTTTTCAACCTATTCGCAATAGCATATAAATGCAATAGCATTATTTTTAGGGTTATAACCAATATTTCTGCTCCACTGTGAAGTCTTCCGTCTACCCTAATGTCATTATACTACTGTGAACTCTGAAGTAATGGTCTGAACTCAGAGGGTTTTTAAAAAAATCTGCTGATGAGCGCATCCACAACTGGAGCTGTAATCAGAATGCACTCAATACCAAGAAATTTCCAGAACCACTTCCCAAACTGTTCTTTAAGATCTTTTAATCCACATCAATAGCTTTTGAGGCTCTATAGGAGAAGAGATTAAATTAAGATTCATCGTGTCCTCTGCTTAGATATTAGAAAACATCCCTGGATCAATTAAGTTTTGTGAACTAAAGACGAACTTCTGTCCACAGAAAGTTTATGCTGCATCCATACCAGTGACTAATGTACCTGAATCCAGAATGTGTGTGTGTTTAAGTCTATACAGGTTGAGCATCCCTTATCCAGAAATTTGAAATCTGAAATATTCCAAAATACATAATTGTCCATGTAGGTAGCCGAGAGTGTCAGCTCTGCTTTCTGATAGTTCAATGGACAAAACTTCATTTTGTGCACAAACATATTACAAATGTTGTGTAAAAAATTGCCATCAGCAGATGTGTGTGGGTTGTATATGAATTTTGTATTTAGATTCAATGTGGATATGAAAATATTCCGAAATATGAAAAAATCCAAAATGAGGACGACTTCTGGTATCAAGCAAGTTGGATAATAATAATAATAATAATAAACTTTATTTATACCCCGCCACCATCTCCCCCAATGGGGACTCAAGGCGGCTTATATGAGGACAAGCCCAAACAACAGGTTATAATAAAACAAGATACAAATTGCAATAAAATAAACAACATAGCATTAAAGTATAAAACATATAAGCATATAAACAATATACACAAAACATAAAGAAAAGAAAAAATAATAAATCAAACATAATGACAGTGAGCGGGATAAGGGATACTACTTAACCTGTGTCAGTATAATTTCATACTAAATTTTCAATGTATACATTTTATGTACCTGTGCTAGTTGCAGAGTTGCTTTGGCCTTCATCTGAATACTGACATGGATACTGTAGAGGCTCATCAGCTCCTGGAAAGTACTGCAAGAAGATAAAGAAGGAAGATCTCAATGATTAACAAATTCATTTTTTAGCCAAGCAATTTGATAGAGCAAGTAAAAAAATGAACAGAAAGAGAATTGGAAAATCACTCAGTTTTCTGTAATGTAGTCTGTTGCAGAAAAAAAATCTACAATAATAATAATAATAATAATAATAATCCATATTTATTTCCTGCCCTTCTCAGAGTCTGAGTCCACTGAGCTTACAGTAGCATCAAAGGGTAAACAGTGGTTTTGCATTAAAAATGCCTCCTACTCTTCTAGTTAAAATGAAAATAGGAAGAGTTGTAACAAAATGCTATTATTATATATTAAAGAGAGTGGGGAATATCACTAAGACAATGTTGTTATTTTTAAAAAAATGCATTCATGATATTCACAATGGAAAAATACATACGAAATATTTAATTTAAAACATCAGCTTTTCATTCAATCCAGCCATTTTTAACAGGCTGGTGACCTGATGCAATGCAATGATTACACAATGTCTGATGACCATTGGATTCTGTCACTTTTATACTTCCATCTTGCTGCATTAGCTACTGTATTTCCCTCTCTATAGCCATATTTCTCTTTGTTCACTGCTTCCATGCCTTCTGATTACTGCATCTTCTATAACCCTATCTTTACAGTATACTATACAACTAAGATATAACCTGTTATACCTGCATCAAATGTGTCATTATTTTGACAATCTCCTCCATGGAAGGCCGTTGCGAGGGATCTTTAGACCAACAGCGTGTCATTAAGCTCTCAATAGGCTTAGGCAAATTTTTTATCAGTGGCGGTCGAGTACCTGAAAGTAGAACATTAGGTTATTTCTCTCTCTCTCTCTCTCTCATAAATGCAGAACTGTCAGAATGAGACATATTTCTGAAATAATTATTTACCAGCTGACTACTAAATACCCCATATCACGCATGTAGCGTAAATTCTCATGGTGGTCTGCGATAAGGCCTTACTGGTACATTATTTCAACTGTTATGTTTATTCATATCATGATCTGATCACCATGCTCAATATATTCCATATGCATGGAGGTATTGCGGTAACAATACAAAAGGTTTGCTAGGGTAGACCCTCTTTCTCTCAGACTCAGCCCCCCCCCCCCCGAATCAAAATCCTGGCTACGGGCCTGCCCCATATGATTTAAGATAGAGGTTGGCAACTTTGGGGAGGCCAAGGACCACCTTCCAAGAAGTATTAAAAACAAATATAGTCATGCGCTGAAAATTTTGTAGCTTAATTCATTAATGTTAAATATAATAATGCGGTTATCTTGCTCCCGGATTCTCCTCTTCAACTATTGCCAATCCAGGCCCCTTTTAACAACTTGGCAAACTCTTGTCTTTGAGGAAAGCCACACTTCTGCTGTTTACACTTTATTCACTCTCTAGGGAAAGCTGCTTTAACAGAGCCCTTAGATTTCCTCTTCATTCCCAACTGAAACATTCTACAACTTTGTCAACTTTTCCAGGGTTCTACCATTAAAATCTTACGCAGGAAGATGACAAAGTCGCTTCTTGGGGGTTTTGACTTACATTTTTGATAATTTAAATGTAAGGTGGTTTGGGACTTTTTGTCATCACAATATTTAAAAAATGTAGAAATAGGATGGTGCAAAAAGGGCTGGGATGACCAAACGTTCTTCAAATTGATTTGGATAAATAAATTTACATTGTTGCTCTTCCTGTAACAATCCCATCATTTTTCTTCTTTCAACCTAACTAACACTCCCTTGGAATTATTCCATCCCTTTACTAGATTGTACACTCTAGATGTATATCAACTTTATGAAGTGGTAAATTAATTCAGAATGGAAAAGTCTTCTTAGTTATGATTGAATTTGTATCTGTACCTGGAAAGGCTTTCAGAACTGCTTTCATTAGCAAAAAGAAACTAAGAGAGCAATGAGAAAACAGTAGCAAAGCTTTCAAGTGAAGAAAATGCTGTCTTCTAAATGTTAAATGGAATATTTACCACCTATGCTTTTAGACTGACAAATTACTGAAGCACTACATGAAATCATTCTGACAATACTTTCTCAAAATGCATGAAGAATAGAGAAATGCACAATATAGTTTTATTATACAAGGCCATAAAAGTGTAGGTAAAGCAGTGCTTTTTAATCTTGGCCTATGCTCTCGACCTAAAGATGTAAACCTCTACTTATAAGCCCAGTCTGTAGAATTTTACTATCTTATTCGAGTCATACCTGAACAAACACAATTTAAATCATAGGCGCAAAACAAAGGTGGTTGGTTGTACCAATTTTTTTTTTAAGCAGGCAGCACCATAGAAAGCGAAAGGCAATTTCTTATATTAGTTGAAGTTGTAGCCAACTAAACATATTAGCACATGTAAATATGGACTTTCACAGATGTCATGTGGGAAAGCAAAATTGGGAAACTTTTTTTTCTTAATCAGATCTCACACTTTGGGATCTAAATTTTATATGATCAGTATTTATACAAGCAACGTTACTCTACCATGTCTAATTTGGCCCTAGGCTTTCATCAGCCCATCTGGTATCATACTATGGCTCAATATTAAAAGACTGGTGCAGATACATAATTATATATTTTAGAAAACTACCTGTCAGTTATTCCTGCTGCCACTGTTACATTTCAACTTACCATTGTGAACTGCCCACATGATTCGAAATGCAGGACCACCAATTTCATCAAAAGGTTTTCGGCGGGTAATCACTTCCCAAAGAATAATACCCCAACTGAATACATCACATTTTTCACTGTAATTGCTACCTGAAAAAAGATCATTCATATAATTGGTGTCCAAAAACATATTTTCAGTCTTAATGAAAGCCCAAGAAATTCTGTGAATGTTAGTGGCAAATCTGAACCAAGTTTGTTGCACACAAATCCGGACTGCAGGTTTCAGAAGATGGCTTTCTTTCTAGATTTTTCTTTTTGTACACTTTGTGCTGCATAATACTGAGTTAAGAATCAAATCACTTCTATACTTATGCAGGTAATAGTCTATTCCATGTCATTTTTAAGTGAATCCAGCTATACAATGTGACCCAAAGCATCCTTATACATTGATCACATTCACATCCAAAACAATCTAGAGATCTCCAGAAAAATTAAGCACGTTTATGCAGGCCACCTGCTTGCTTCAACTATGATCAGGAGTACATAAATAAACATTTGGGCTTGCTCTCTTCCAACAAGCCAGAGAAAGATGAAACAATAAACTTTAGGTTACTTCACTGGTGTTGTTGTAGGAGAAAGCACTGGGGCTGGATATAACAGCACACCAATAACATGTGGAAGATCAATTGCTTGTTTAGCTCCTCCTTTATGCAGCTAAAATGTTCAAGATTTCTGGCCTACTGATGCTGACTGATATTGTTACAAGTCGTATGAATAGTGAGAGCTGAATAGAATACTTTGGGCACAACTTCATTTCAATTGAAAGCAATCTATCTAATTCCTCCAATTGATGCAGACGGCAACATGGTAAATATTTTCTTTAGGCCTTTTCAATGATCTTAATTAAATAGCTGAAAGTTCACAAAGAATAGGCTAGCTATTCCCAGTAAGTACAAACCTTGCAGATATTGCCTGATAGTCATCCTGAGAACGTTATAAAGTGCTCTGTGTGTGAGAATTGATTGAAAAACAGGGAAGGCATACTTGAAGAGACTACTATATAAAATCACATTGAGAACATGACTAAGAGGTCCCTTTTTGAATATTACGTCCTAACTTTGTTTCAGGCAGCTGCTCAGTGTGTCGGGACTTTGAAATGTGGTTTTGCCACAATGGTATTGCAGGCCAGAAGGATCCTGATGACTGCCACTTGCATCCTTAATTTTATTTGCCTGTATTATAGTGCCACACAACAAATACCATTAGCAAGTACTTCAAAATAGCAACATTCTAAGTTGCTCATTGGGAGTCTGAACACAGACATATTAAGTCTTATTATTTGCAGATTAGCAATTTCTTTCCAGCTGTATAAATTTATAATGGATTCATTAAACAGGACAAGTTATTATCTGTCTTTAATTATTTAGAACTGCATTTCTATCGTAAAATTATTGTCAGGCTATGAACTGCAAATATAAAAAGTGCGTGTTTTTGTCAAAGACTTTCAAAGGATATTTTTCTTCATCTATTTACCCACTTTCAAGAACTCAACAATGAAATATAATCAGAAGAAATAGCAGAAGAAATAAGCAATAATGATTTTTAAATATCCAATAACATACATTAATTTTAATATTGATGTGTTACCTTCAAAAACTTCTGGTGCCATCCAAGCAGCACTTCCCTTATTGTTGGTCATGTGTGTCTGAATATCACATGCTGTGCCAAAATCACAGATCTTTAAAACTGTCCCACCTGCCACCAAAAGCAAGCTGTCAAATAAACATAATAGTTTAGTATCTTTTCAATTAAAGAAGAATAGTTATTACATTAAAGCAGTGGTTCTCAACCTTCCTAATGCCACGACCTCTTAATACAGTTCCTCATGTTGTGGTGACCCCCAACCATAATATTATTTTCATTGTCACTTCATAACTGTAACTTTGCTACTGTTGTGAATCGTAATGTAAATATCTGATACGTAGGATGTATTTTCATTCACTGGACCAAATTTGGCACAAATACCTGATATGTCAAATTTGAATACTGGTGGAGTTGGAGGGAGATTGATTTTGTCATTTGGGAGTTGTAGTTGCTGGGATTTATAGTTCACCTACAATCAAAGAACATTCTGAACTCCACCAAGGATGGAATTGAACCAAACTTGGCACACAGAACTCCCATTACCAACAGTAAATACTGGAGGGCTTTGGTGGGCATTGACCTTGAGTTTTGGAGCTGTAGTTCATCTACATCTAGAGAGCACTGTGGATGCACATAATGATGGATCTGGACCAAACTTGGCATTAATCCTCAATATGCCCAAATGTGAACACTGGTGGAGTTTGGGGAAAATAGACCTTGACATTTGGGAGTTGTAGTTGCTGGGGTTTATAGTTCACCTACAATCAAAGAGCATTCTGAACCCCACCAATGACAGAATTGGGCCAAACTTCCCACACTGAACCCCCATGACCAACATAATTATAATTCTAAGAATTATAGAAACCTTTCTAGAAATTATTTAGGTTTAATATCAAATATTTAAATTTTAAAAAGGATATATAGTAAGCCTTACATTTTTCTAAGATTTAAATCTCCTTGATTGTGTAGGGACTAAGAGCACAGGGAATGCCATGAAAGTAGAAAAACTACAAATATTTTATTTATTTATTTTTAACTCGAGACAACATTTCTCTAGGAATTTCTTGGTCCTCCAGCAAGACCCTATGGCCACTTTCCACCAGACTGTGCTGGAGGAATCTTAAATGCCTAGGAAAGGGTTATCTCTGTACAAATCTCCAGGTCCTTCAGTGTGACTTTATGGTCAACTTCCAGAGGATTTCTACAAAGAACATATTAAACAAATTTGCAAATAATCAAATCCACAAAAGTTAAATCTGAAAATGTGGAGGGCCAATGGTATTGCATGTTGCATGTGTAAAACATTTGGGATTTAGATTAATAAACTAAGCACTGTGTATTGACAGATCATCTGCAGATCTGTAGATGACAAGTAATGAGTATAATATGTAACACTATTTGCAAAATTAATTAAAAAATAAGGCTGCATCAAATAAACTGTATCCATTGTCCTGAACAAATGTATTTGGGATGACTACAGTTCCAGAAACAAGTGACGTAGTACAAGCATCAAACTTTTTTGAATCAATTATATAAACTGAGTTTTTCTTTTGGTGATTTAAAGCACCCTGATTTAAATTTGTGCATCCTGTTAATGGCTGCATATCCTGCATTAGAACATGGGAAACCGATATAACAATATACATTGTTCTCTTGTTGTTCATTCGTTCAGTCGTCTCCGACTCTTCGTGACCTCATGGACCAGCCCACGCCAGAGCTCCCTGTCGGCCGTCACCACCCCCAGCTCCTTCAAGGTCAGTCCAGTCACTTCAAGGATGCCATCCATCCATCTTGCCCTTGGTCGGCCCCTCTTCCTTTTTCCTTCTACTTTCCCCAGCATAATTGTCTTCTCTAGGCTTTCCTGTCTCCTCATGATGTGGCCAAAGTACTTCAGCTTTGTCTGTAGTATCCTTCCCTCCAATGAGCAGTCGGGCTTTATTTCCTGGAGGATGGACTGGTTGGATCTTCTCGCAGTCCAAGGCACTCTCAGAACTTTCCTCCAACACCACAGCTCAAAAGCATCTTCCTTCGCTCAGCCTTCCCTAAGGTCCAGCTCTCACATCCATAGGTTACTACAGGGAATACCATGGCTTTGACTATGTGGATCTTTGTTGCCAGAGTGATGTCTCTACTCTTACTATTTTATGGAGATTGGACATTGCTCTCCTCCCAAGAAGTAAGCGTCTCCTGATTTCCTGGCCATAGTCTGCATCTGCAGTAATCTTTGCGCCTAGAAATACAAAGTCTGTCACGGCCTCCACATTTTCTCCCTCTGTTTCCCAGTTGTCAATCATTCTTGTTGCCATAATCTTGGTTTTTTTGATGTTTAGCTGCAACCCGGCTTTTGCGCTTTCTTCTTTCACCTTGATTAGAAGGCTCCTTCTCTAGGTATGTTATTAATGGATAGCTAATTTATTCCTCTGCTCATATTTTAACCAAGAAAATTATGTTTTACATCCACTCATCAATGAAGGCAGAAACAAATGATAAACAGCATGTCCAGCTCTAAACTCATTTTAAGAGTACACTTACAATGTTGCATTCTCTGTGAGTTTACATCACATTTAAAAATAGATACTTTATATCACAGTAGGCTCTAAAATGAGTAGGAATTAGGTAACAAGTTCTCTGAATGGCAGTGGCTTTTATGATTCGTGAAAACCTACTTTGGTGGCTTTAGGTCCCTGTGAATGAGAGCCTTTGGTTTCATGCTGTGAAGATATGCTACTCCTTGGGAACACTGTAAACACCAACTCATTGCATGTGCAGCAGTGTAGTAAGGCAGTGGCTCAGCACCATGAAGAACTGGAAAACAAAGGTACAAACTAAAAAGAACGATTGCACGTTATGGTAGATATGAGATGGGTACACCACCTCTTCAATTCAAACAAGAAATATACAACATATAGTATTTCTTTGTTCTACTATTTCTAAGCCTTACAATCTACAATCAATCATTTCTGTAAATTGATTTAGGAAGCCATCTATGCCTAAGTTAGGGTGAAAAAGCTAATCCAAGTAAGCAAACTAGTTGAGTCTGTTTAGCAGCATAGGATACAAACCCCAATCTCTCAGTCCATTTTATTAATGAATTATGCAACTTCACAAGTTTAAAGATTGTTTTAGCATTGTGAAAAAAAGAGCTTAAAACAAAATATAAGGACATTTTTGAGCAAAATTAGCAGAATAAGAACATGTACTGAGTGTCATCTGACTTCAGTGATGTTTGCAGTAGTGGTCAATAAATGGATACTTTTGATCATGAGAACAATCAATCCATATTTATATTGCCACAGCAAACCAGTTTGTTAATAGTTTGAAAGATATGGAGTGACCTGTGAATTAAGCACTCATAATGGAACAATCATGCCATCATTTAATCTTTGGGGATTTCAGCAATGAACTCACTTCAGTTAGCCTGTATCTCAAAAATAGTGATTAAGTAGACTTGATGAATGGTAATTTATTGGAATATTTGATGCCTGATTCTGATCTTTTTAATTAAAATAAAAAAGAACGTGTGAGTTTACATGATGTCAAACTGCTAAAACTACCACTCTGGCTTTGGTTCTATGAAAACCAATATGTAAACATACCCTTGTATTTTAGGTAATTCTTCACAATAATATTCAAGAGAGATGCTCACCATTATAGAGTGAACCTCCTTCAGCGTATTCCATAACAAGACATACCTTAATGAAAAAATATGTTAAGTTAAAAGAAGTTGTTTGCATTATAAACAATCATGTTGTGAATAATCATGGTTAATAATGTAACTGTCATTTCAGATATTTTCCACGTTTAGCTCCCCTCTGACTTTACTGTCTACAATCATTTTCTTGTCAACCAAAAATACTGCACACCCTTCAAATTCTGGATGACATCTGTAGAAAATATTTCACTTTTAAAACTCAACAGGGCCTCTTCGATTTTGCTCCAGCCACAGAATATTATGGCTTTAGAAATGACTTTTTATATGGGAAAGCAGTTGAAAATATGGAGGCTTGTGAAATTCTCCCAAACTGAATTTGTGTGTGAGTTTGGAGGATCCTAACTATTTAATCTTGTTAGTGCAAAATCAGTAATACTTTCAGATCTACCATGTGTCTCTTTCTGATTTTGAGACTTTAAAGAAACTGCGCCAAAACAACTTGTTGCAGCTTTAATTTCCTTCTATACTTTCTCTTCATAGTCTTCCACCCACTCTATTTACTGAGTCACTGCCCTGTAAAACAGAGCATAAAAAGAGATCCTAATGGACTTTTGTGTTTTGTATGAGCTGTTTTAAACATTTATCATTTTTGCAGACTGGTAAGGAAGAGGGTAAAAGAATGAAAAAAAAGTGAAGAAAATGAAAGCCACAGCAAACTGCATGCACCAGTTCCAGAATTAACCTTGAAAATTCTTTATGACTTTGCTATTCTGTTAATTGGTCTAAGTGGGAGGCTATGCCTGTTGGGGTTAATGCATCTATTTGGATCTTTGCTGACTGGCAGTTTCACTGATATCCAAAAGTTATAAGGTATTTGGACACGTGTTCCTCAGATATCACACAAATGATTAAACTTAACTTGTCTGCATCACCTGCTGAAATGTCTCTAGACTTGGATGGGTAACACCATTCAAGTGTGTTTGCTTGTTTCTTATCTCACCTTTCTCTCAATATATGATCCAAGGCAGCTCACAATCTGAGCTGAAGGAAAATACAGTTGAAATTAAGTATTTGGTGTTAAAAAAAGTTATGATGAATGTTGCACTAGATATATTGGAGGTTCTTCAAGGTTGTTCACTCGATATCCTTCAGGTTTATTTTTTTTAATCAATATATTTCTAGAAGTTTATATGGAGGCCTTGCTACCCCATTTTTCACTCAAATGGATGAAACTATCATTTTCAGAAGATGGATTTAACCTTCCAGATTTGAGTTTGTTTTATAAGGTGTATCTTCTGACTTGTACAAAATATGATTCTATTCACTTAATGATGTGATTTCTGCTGTCGGGATGGCCTACAGTACTTATTTACAGTTTGATACACGCAGTCCTGTTAAACTATCTCTGGAGCAATCCAATTGTGAAGACTGTGAGTAGAAATGGATTGAATGTAGGATTTATATTTTAGATTAACTGATTAGTCCAGAACCAAAACTGTTGCCTTTCTTAGTATTGCAGCCTATAAATCACTATTGCAATTTTACAACAGCAACACCACTTTTGTTGCATGAGTCATAAGCTGAATACCTTAATCATCTTTGTAGTGCTGGAAACATTAAGCCTATCTTTAGATGAAACTGGAATCAACAAGCCTGGTTTATACAAATTTGTCATAAAGTACTAAATTTGATTTTAATGAAATCCTAGGGTTTTCTTCATCAAATGATTTACATCTTACTGAGTCCTGGTTCAGCACTCAGCCACTTCATTATGCTGGTACTGATATTTTGACTGAATTCTAAAATAACATATAAATATATTTTTGATCCCACAACACAAAGATATTTTTGAACCCACAATACAGTCACATTGTGATCTCATAAGCTGAACTGGTAAGTACTTACTGGATTCAAACAAGCGCCATATAACTTGACAATATTAGGATGGTTCACACGTGAAAGCTGTCGAAGCTGAAAATTTAAAAAGTATCATTTATTGAAAGGTTAATTCTGAGGTTGTTTCTTCATCCTTTTTTCATATTTAAGTCATATCTAATGTTAAACTAGGTTTGATGTTTCATAATAATATTCTGCTTCCATATGGGGAAATATTTGCAGTTTACTCCTGCTCCCAGCTTTATTTCCTAGAAAGATCACACAGCTACAATAGAAGATAATAAGATTGCATATTTAGACGAATCATAGCCTCCTCAGCACACATTTTCACTAGGCATGACTTCTACAATGACCTCCTGAATGTGACTCAACATACCTACCCTTTAGTACATTTCTATTCTTGAATGGTAGTTTATAATTCCTACTCAACTAATGCAAGTATTCATTTTAGTATGTATTAGAACTGTATGCAAGTTTCCTTCTAAATCACATTTTCCACATGGGAGACCTGTCCTGCTTTCTAAGTTTTCTGTTCACAGAATTTAGAGGGAGACATGCCAGGCAAAAAAGTAGAGGATTGAACGGAGAATGATGGCTTTTCATCTCACATGATCTTTATGAATAAAAGTAATACCAAGTCATGTGCTTAAAGATCTACTTTGGAAAGGTGCAGTGTGACCTCTGTAGTCTTATACAGATGACTGGTTAGTACAGTATATACATGAGTATAACCCAACCCAAATATAAGCTGAGGCACCTACTTTTGCCACAAAAAAATGGGAAAACTTGTTGACTTGAGTATAAGCCTAGAGTGGGAAATTCAGCAGCTACTGATAAATTTCAAAAACAAACATAAAAATAAATACAAATAAAATTACATTAATTGAGGCAACACTAGTTTAAATGTTTTTGAATATTTACATAATTAAAGGTAAGACTGTCCAACTCTGATTTAACCACTATATAAACTTCTTCAATGTAAGTATGCTTGTGGGCTCCATCGCTGCCACTTGTCCTCTGCCTCCTCCTCCCTGGCCAGCTGGCAGAAGGGAGGGAGAGGAATGGTGGTAGCAGCGGCAGCGGCATAGGAGCCTTGCTTGCGGGCACCGCTGCCATCTCCACTGCTCATCCAGCTGGCCAAGGGGAGGGGGAGTAGTGGCAGCAGCGGCACCAGAGCCTTGATTGTAGCCTCCGCTGTCACAGCCGCTGCTCATCCTGTGCTTCCTCCTCCTCCCTGGAGGGGGAGAAGCAGTGGTACTGGCGGAAGCAGAGCCTCGCTTTCAGACCCCACTGCCGCTCATCCTCTCCCTCCTCCTTCTCCCTGGCCAGCTGGCTGAGGAGTGGGGGATGAGTGGCGGCACTGGCAGCACCGGAGCGTGACTTGTAGGCTCCGCTGTCACCACCACTTCTCTTCCTAGCCAGCTTACTGAGGGGAGGAGGAGGGGTGGCAGTAACAAGGCTCCACTGCAGCCACTGCTCCTCCTCTTCCGGCCACTCCCCATGGAGGTGAAGGCCAGTTGGCTTCGGAGCCTCACCTCTGCTGCCCAGCTTGACTTGAGTATAAGCCGAGGGAGTCTTTTTCAGCCCCCAAAAGGGCTGAAAAACTCGGCTTATATTCGAGTATATATGGTACTTTTATCATATTTATCTTCATGACATAATTAGGAAGTATATGGAAATCTTACATACAGCCCACCACTCATGATGATCAACAAGTCTAACCAATTACCAGCTGAATTTAATACATCAGCTAGCCAAGGAACTCAGCAACATGCAAGTCCTAGATTCAAGCTCAATCCATATATATTTGGACTGGTTCAGCTATGACTGTAGCTGTGAATTGTCTCTCCGTTCATTGAGTGAGGTTGCAGCTGAAGAGATGGGATAATTGTTGGAATACTTACGTACAAGGGGATTTCAGCTGGGGCCAAGAATAAGTCACTTAAATCAATTCACATACTATATTTATCTCTAAATATATAAAGCATTTTGTCATATCTTGTCATATCATCTTATGGGATAGTTGTTATTATTATATTTTGAATGCTGGTTTATAGTGAAATAAGTAACAAATATGATTTAATTCCAAAGTCGAAAATGTTTTTATCTTGGGTTTTTGATGGAGTTTTAGTCTCGAAAGGACTCGGTAATTTTATTGTTGGCAGCACATTTGAAATTGCTTTACAAACAGAAAAGTAATAATCTGTGTGTGCTCACTTAGGGTATACCATTTTGCCTCACTTACTTATCACTAGATAATTTCAGGAGTCTGGTGGACAAAATCAAATGAATTCACTTCCTAATAGTTTGCATTTCTCTCGTATAGAAATAATCAGCTTTCAATGCAGCTTTTCTCAGGCCAACACAAATTCTTTTGAAAGGTATGCTTACTAAACTCCCAGTGGTGGTCCTAATAACAACTATCAGTATTGGTTTATTAATCCAAATGTTATTAAAAAGAGTAATCCGTGGAATGCATGGGAAACCATAATCCCACTTTCTGTTCTGCACATGCAAGCATGGATCAAGGAAATGAAGCATACAATGTTCACCATCCAGCCCACAAGTCTTTTGCAACTGATATCCCCAGCCAGTGACTGCAGAGTATTATTGAATCTTTGAGTTCCTTGCACTGGAATTTGCAATCTGGAAAGCTAGAAAATTGCGCTTTGAATGCTTGTTTGGAAATTATCAAAACCGGTAAGAAATAAATCTGTTTGTACATACTTTTCTTTGACCTTGCCTTCAGGTGAAGGAGTCTACAGAATTCTGTTATTCAAGATAAAGGGAGTTTACAGAATATCCATACGAGAAAAGGAAGGCTCCAGTCTTTAAAGGTGTTGTAGAGCTTTCCGATATACAAATGTTGGGAGTATTACTGATAACAGACATTGGGAAAGTCATTTTTAAGACTCTAAGTCAGCAAATCTCCTCACAGCAGTGGCCAGAACTGTATCTGCGGAATCGGCAGTATCACAGCAGTGTCCATTCTAGGAATGTGATCTGACTACTGTGATATCATCATCTTCTTCATCTTTATTTCTTACCCGCCTCTCTCCATGTCAGAAAGGAACAGCAACATATTCAAATACAACATGAACCATCCGTTCAAAACACATAACATTATTTAAAAGAACATATGCATTTTAAACAAACAGTATATATTTAAAATTCATAATTTTAAAATCATACAGATTTTGCTTTTGTTTGGTTGTATCCCATTACTGTAATGCATGTGGATTTGCCCTTGAAGAATATTCAGTCAGAGACCTTAGCTGATCCAAAGACTGGTTGCAGGGAGCGCACCACTCTGCTAGTGGCCAATCTCTTTCCAGGTGCAATTAAAGTCCTATTTATGATCCATAAAGATCTATAAGACCTAGGTCATATCCAGCCTCTATATGACCATTTCTTCCTGTATGAGCCTTCACAAGTTCTAAACTCTTTAGTGAAGGCTATTCTTTTTCTCCCACCACTCTCAAAGGTATATTTTTTATAGAAACAGAAGAGAGGCTTTTATCTGGTTATTTTTAAACTATACAACTCCCTTCTGAGGATGGCTCCTTCCTGCTGAATTTTTGTGTCAAATGAACATCTTTTTGTTTAGTCGGGGAATTAGTTTTTTTTATAGTGCTGTACTATTTATATTCTTTGCTTTTAAATCAATGTTTTACATAATTTTAATTCTGTACACAGTTTAATATTGGGTTGTTGTAGGTTTTTCGGGCTGCTTAGTATTATTTCAATCTTTTTTTAAGCTCCTTTTTGTATTCTGGCAAGCCCATTGAGTCACAATTTTGGCAAAAAGGTAGAAGATTAATAAAATAAAAATAGAATAACTGAACACACCTCCATAAATGTAAAAAGTTACTGAAGCACAATCCAGAATCAAATCTAAGAGAGCATTTTGCGATAGAACATTGTAGGCTGTTTTCAGAGTCTACATCATTTGCTGTACTTGGGTGCATTGTGTTTTAAGCACAACAAGAATATTATTCCAGATGTAGCAGACTGATAGATTTAATTAAAATACATTTCAAAGCAAAATTATACCTCTACTATGAAGGCTTTTCTTTCAGATTCACTTTCTATTTGCTTAATGGCCACATCTTTCCCTCGCCATTTTGCTTTGCAAACTACTCCAAAGGCTCCTCTTCCAACAACCTAAATAAAAAGAAAATTAGAAACATTGAGAAATTATAATTCCTACAATTCTGTTCTTAACATCACAAAAAGACAGAGTAAAATAGATCTCTACATTCAATTAGTCATGCACCTGTTAATTACCACACATTACTAATAGGGTGTTTCACCTGATGGATCTTGTGCTAGCTTGTCTTGAATAATTTCCACACTTATTTATTTTTTTATTTATCAATCAATTTTATATACTGCCACTCCCTGAAGGCTCGGAGCGGTTTACAATATACACATGTGATACATTACATATAAGATCAAGAAAAATTTTGATCAACAAAATTCAAATGCCACCGTAAATAAATAAGTTTTACAAGCTCTACGAAAAGCAAGTAAATCTTGGAGATTTTGTTTGTAATCTGCTGAACAACAGATGCTTTGTGTACAGTAATCTCTTTCAGGGAAAACATTTTCATTTGTGCATTGTTTCCAGGACTATATGTGGGTGCAAGAGGTGGTAAGAAGAGGAAGAAGGAGGAACTTAGAAAATAACCTTGGAGTTATGTGTTCCCTTAGCCAGGAATATGTAAGGAGATGTTCAAGGAGATCACATTATCCACCTGAACACATGCAATATTACATGCAAGCATACATGGGATCTGAATTCGTTGCATCATCTAAGGATAGTGCGTCTCTTCTGAATGAATGCCTTGAGGAGGTAACAGGGTGGACTGGAGAAACAACCAATCTAGACACGAAGGAGATGCTTACAGTTAAGGGTCCTAATCTGGGGTTGGAGGTGTGTCATTCAGTCCTGGATGTATACCCTCTGTAAGGCTATGTTCAGAGTTTGGGAGTACATCTGGATCCATTATTCCAAATAAGGGCCAAATAGATGTGATGGCCAGGACTGCTGACCATCAAAACTTTTGCTGTTAATTGTGCTCCTTCCTGGAGCTGGGGGACCTAAAGATGGTAGTGAACACACAGGTAGCTTCAAGGCAGTGTGTAGGTCTATCTTTCAGTATTTCAAAGTGCAAAACATGGCAGCCAGATTAGTTCCTGGTGCATCTAGGAGTGATCATATTATACCTATATTAAAACCAATCCACCATCTGCCAATGAATTTCTGAACAAGTTACAAAGTATTGGTTGTTACCTTTAAAGTGGTATATAGTTTGGATCTGAATTACTTGATAGTATCACTTTTTCTATATAATCCATCTTGTATACTCAAGTCTTCTGGGGGAAATGTACTTTGGTCAGCTGAGACAAGGCTTGCAACTGTGAATCTGAGAACTTTTTCATCAGACACTCAGCAGAACATTTATTTTTTATTGCAGTCCAGTAAGTAACTCTTTATCGTTACGTTACCACTGCTATCCCTAGTATGCCACTGACTAATACAGGGAAATTATCTTTGGTTATCTGTATCTCTGATCATCACAATTCTAAATAGACTACCATGACTGGATTCACCATTACCCGATACACCCACAATCGAACAGCATGGCAGACACTACACACAGATGCTCTGGACTGGTACAGAGAGAGCGATTCCCTCAACTTTTTCCTCCTCAACTTTTTCCAAACAGTTGCTAAGTCCGATACTTAAACTGGCTTCAGGCCTGCAGAAAAAATACACCCTGTTTCTCACATGTAATACCAACTGAATCAGTCCAAGTGCATGCCCTATGCTGGTGTTTAGATCTTCCAATATGGCAACATAGCCCTCTCCTCTCCTCCTCTTGCATTCACACTGACTCACTTTCTCTTCTTGGTAGTAACAGAATGGATGAAGTCAAAAATGGTAACTTGTTCAATAACTTTTAAAATGTGCTATCTCTCGCACACACTCATTCCCCTCCTTGATGGAAGCTCCTATGCTCATCACTAACAGCATTTCAACTCAAAGAAGTAGCACAAGGAAGACTTTCATGTGACTCTTCCACTTCCACCTCTCTCCTGCTCAGACTGAAACAAAAGATGTTAGATTGGAAACCGAAAATCATAGCTCTGTCTGAGAGAAATGAAATGGTACACCATTCCAGGTCCTGGTAACAACTAGTTACGGTAGTTATCAAAGCAACTTTTCCCCTTCTTTCCGAGCACTGAACCAGTCTCTGTTTAAAGTAAACTTGAACACAAGTTTGTCAGATCTAATTATAAAACTCATCTCCTTTGCTGCACAGGCTAAAGAGATTCAATCACAGAGGACATTATTTTCACTGACATCTCATACAGAACTGTAGGTGTTCCTTCAACTGAAGCGTAGCCAGCTTTACCAACTTGATGCTCTTGACATTCAAATAAATTCAAGAAGATCATTTCTTGGATGTGTTTGATCAAGGATGTTGGTCTCCAAATCCAAGACTGACAAGGTGTTAATCTGAAACTGGAAGCTGTTTTTGCTCCATATGCAAGACAAGCAGCTTACTGAGAAATGATGCATCTACAGCTTGAGATGAAATGTTCTTTGTATTTGATTGAGTTCCATTTTCACACTTTTCTGCCATTACAAATTCCTACTTTATTCTGTTATGAATTTCATAGAACAGTGTTTGTGATATTTTGCCAGCAAACTGGTAGAGTACAGCTTATCTTTAAGCACCAATGAGCACACATTCAGGCCAAAGCCAAGTATTGACATACACACTGATTCTCTTTTGGTATCTCACAGATGGATGGAATATTTAATAACTACTTGCACTTTTATAGGCAAGAACAAAAGATGATCAAGGATGCAATAAATAAGTATGTGTCCTACCAGCAATGTACATCTAGTAGTTACTGACTGGCCATTTCATTCCACTCTTTCGTTCTTCATAAGAGGAATTTTTGTTGTAAATTTCTATTTGTTTTCATTGTTGTTAAGTCAGTTGTAAGTGGCAGTGGGTCACAGGCTTAAGGACAGATGAGGGTAGGTCCAGATACTTATCTTTTTAGGGTGCTTCCTTATGAAATAATAGCTCAGTCAGGGGCTCTGGTACATTCCACGGCCCTAAGTTCACTGCTGATCTAACCTGAGTTTCATAAATGCATATCTTGTGCTGGTCTGGGTGTCACATAAAAAGAAGCATGATGGTAAAAAAAATAGCCTCGGGTTTGAGAAGTCAGAATAAAACTCACACTGCCTTTCATTATTAATTATGCTGGCCAGATGTGATGGGAATTTATGTGTAACAACAAGTGGAAGACTGATCAATTTCTATCCTTACATGAGAAAAAATGGGAGAACTGTCAGCTATCATGTCCATTTGTGTTCATACTCGAAACCAATGGTTTACTACAGTTTTCTTGCACTTATGTGCAACTGAAGTTCCATAAATGTAGGATGCTAACACAAGAAAATATACCCATAGGCTTTATACTCGCTCCCTTCTAATGCCTTCCGCCAAGAACTCTCTGGAATATATAAAATGATGTAGCCTAAGGTTGCTCATGACTAACATAAAACAGGTTTTCAATTATATTCTATGTGACTACAAATTGCCAACCCTCCAGTTAAAATATAAAGATATACAACATACCACTTGAGGTTGCTTTGTTGTTGCTGTTGCATGTGTGCTTCCAAGTCATTTTGGGCCAATGGTGACCCTATCACATGGTTTCCTTGTCAAGATTTGTTTTTCTGCCATTGCCTGGGGGCTCTTCCACGCAGCCCTATATCCCAGAATATCAAGGCAGGAAATCCCACATTATCTGAGTGTTCATCCAGATAACCCAGATCAAAGCAGATATTGTAGGATTTCCTGCCTTGATATTCTGGGATATAGGGCTGTGTGGAAGGGCACAGCCTTGGTCTGTGCTCTAGGTCATTTTGTGGGTTTAGTGGTCAAGTGAGGATTTTCAGACCCTGGCCTTCAAAGTCATAATCCAAAATTCAAAACACTACATCATGTTTGCTTTGAACACATCGCTTGAAAAATAACTAAACCTGCTGTAGAAAAACAGCAGTCTCTTAAAAAGTGTGGTTGAAGTTTTTCATGGCTTTTATTTGTTTGATGCATACCTTTAGGGAATACTCAGGTCCTTTATGTGAGCCAAATCTCCACAGGTTACCCTGAGATCTAAAATTAAGACCAGGTTTCTGGACGGGCACTTGAAAAAGTGTATTGGTTTTATTGTTTTGTTATATTTTACCTCTTGTTTCTCTACTCACTAACTGATAAGAAGTGACCCAATAATATCCCTAAAAACTTCATACCTTCTACACTGACATATAATCCAGATCATCAAAGCAGATAATCCAGATTATCTGCTTTGAACTGAATTATATGAGTCTACACTGCCATATAATCCAGTTCCAAGCAGGTAATCTGGATTTTATATGGCAGTGTAGAGGGAGCCTGAGTTTGCCAGATCTGACTCTAAATAACTTTTGAGTCCTGGTTTTTCTCAAAAATCTGTCCATATTTGAGTAGGGATGTGATTTGAATTCTAATGTATTTATTTATTTCTTGTGTCCAGTGGTCCTCTCATCTTCACTAAGGAGTGAGAAGTACCAAGAAGTTGTACTTAGGGGTGGGATGCAGGAGAAAAAGACCATTTCCTGAATAACACTGGCGTCCTGATAGCAATGTGCAGTGCAGTCCTCTACATATTTCTTCATGGATTTTGTCCCAAGCAAGGACTTAAAGCAGGCATGGGTAAACTCTGGCCCTCCAGGTGTTTTGGACTTTGACTTCCACAATTCCTAACAGCAGTAGCTGTTAGGAATTATGGGAGTTGAAGTCCAAAATATCTGGAGGGCCAAAGTTTGCTTATGCCTGACGTAAGGAATAGTTTTGGGGAGCATCTACATAATGTAGAGGAAATGCAGTTTGACATCACTTTAGCTGTCATGACTCAGTGCTCTGGAATGATGGGAGATTTGGTTTTACTAGGCCTTCTCTGCCAAAGAGTGATGGCTCCTCACCAAACCACAACTCCCAGTACTAAATAAAATAGCCTCTAGTACTCTCTCCCAAAGGAGATCAGAATGGCCCAATTGCTGTCCTCCTTTAGGAAGCAAATAAAAACCTTAAAAAACCCATAACCCAGGCTCATGGAGATGTGAATGGTCAAAAATCTGGCCTTATGAAATAAGAATTTAATATTGCCATGGCTTTTAATCATGTTTTTATTTATACTGTTTTTAATTTGCTATTATTGTTTCACTTGTGATTTGTATGATTGTTGAATGTGCTGTTAATTTATTGCAGTCTTCTTCTTGTTTAGTTATTATTAGTTTATATTGATGTTGTTTTATTTATTGTGTTGACTGATTTGTTGTTTTTCTGTTTTTATTATGACACTGAATGTTTACCACTTTTGATGGAAACCACAGAGTCCCCATGGGGAGATGGGGTGGGAGAGAAATAAAGTTTTGCTTATTTACTTACTTGAGTCAAGGTAGTTAAAGTGATGGGAAGCTGCATTTGTTCCGTGGTGTAGTATATACATCCTTTGAAATCAATATGAACGGTGGCAATGTCTATGGGCCCTTCCACAAAGCCATATAACCCAGAATATTAAGGCAGAAAATCCCACAATATCTGCTTTCAACTGGTATATATGGCAGTGTGGACTCAGACAACCCAGCTCAAAGCAGATATTGTGGGATTTTCTGCCATGATATTCTGGGATAGAGGGCTGTGTGGAAAGCCTGGAGTCCACATTGTTTTATATTTCAGTTCAAAGCAGATAATGTGTGATTTTATTTAGCTATTGTGGAAGGGGACCAGAATCTCAAGGCAGAAAATCTCACAATATGTGAACTGGGTTATCTGAGTCCACACTGTTAATATATCCCAGTTCAAAGCAGATGTGGGATTTTATGCAGCTGTGAGGAAGGGGCTTCACAATATAATGGCAGAAAATCCCACAACATCTGCTTTGACTCGAGTTATCTGAGAGCCCTTCCACACAGCCATATAACCCAGGGCCCTTTCACACAGGCCTATATCCCAGAATATAGGGCTGTGTGGCAGGGCCCCCAAAATATCATGGCAGGAAATCCCACAATATCTGCTTTGAACTGTAATATATGGCAGTGTGGACTCAAGATAACCCAGTTCAAAGCAGATATTGTGGGATTTCCTGCCTTGATATTCTGGGTTATAGAGCTGTCTGGAAGGGCCCTGAGTCCAGGCTGCCTTATAACCCAGTTCAAAGCAGATAATGTGGGATTTTCTTCAGTTGTGTGGAAGGGGCCTAGTCCTCACCTCTGGCGAACACCAGTGGTCCCCAACCTTGGGGGTTTGGGACTTCATCTCCCAGAATCCCTCTGTGCTGTCCTGGATGTTTGGGGCTGCTGGGAGCTGAAGTCCGGACCACCTGGAGGGCCGAAGTTTGCCCATGTCTGAGCGAAGGCCATACAATGCAGTGCCGGTGGGGCCTTAGGCTTGGGTCTTTCGAGTGTTTTGGACTCCGACTCCCAGAATGCCCCAGTGCTGTCCTGGCTGGCCGGGGCTCCTGGGAGTTGAAGTCCCCCAAGGCTGGGCGCCCCAACGCCAGGCGCGGCCCAGGACCTCACCTCTTCCACCTCGATGGCTTTGTAGTCGATCTCCTCGAAGTTGAGCACGGGCTGGGTGTCAATCATGTCCGCGGGGCCGGCCGAAGACATCCCTCCGCCCGCCGAAGAGGCTCCTCCGCCGGGCCGGCTTCACCGGAGGCCCATGGCCCCGCGGGCTCGGCGTGAAGCGGGGAGGGCGAGGGCCGCTCCTCCGCCGGGCCTGTGCCCTGCTCCCCGGCCTCTTCCCGCTACTGCCTGCGAGGCCCAGGCGGAGCCATGGCTGGCGGCGGAGGAGGCAAGGAAGCCAGCGGCCCTCCTCTTCCTCCTGCCCGCCCGCTTCCCGGAGCCGCCCCGCCCCCTCCCCCCGCCCTCCCTCCCACGAAGGAGGGCAGGCTCAGCCGGGCACCACCCCACTGCTAGGCCTCAAGGCGGTGGGATCCCGGGTGGGAGCTCTCGTTTGAGGAAACAGCAGCACGCTTCGGCAGGGGAAACGGGAGCCCCTATAGGACTACAGCCCCCAGGATCCCATAGCAATAGACCTTGACATTCGGGAGTTTTAGTTGCTGGGATTTATAGTTCACCTATAATCAGATATAAATGAAAGGCTGGGGTTAAAATTGCTGGAAGAAACATTAACAACTTAGATATGCAGATGATACCACTTTGATGGCTGAAAGCGAGGAGGAGCCGAGGAGCCTTCTAACCAAGGTGAAGGAAGAAAGTGCAAAAGCTGGGTTGCAGTTAAACATAAAAAAACAAAACCAAGATTATGGCAACCTGATTGATAACTGGGAAATAGAGGGAGAAAATGTGGAGGCAGTGACAGACTTTGTATTTCTAGGTGCAAAGATTACTGCAGATGCAGACTGCAGCCAGGAAATCAGAAGATGCCTAGTTCTTGGGAGGAGAGCAATGTCCAATCTCAATAAAATAGTGAAGAGTAGAGACATCACACTGGCAACAAAGATCCGCATAGTTAAAGCAATGGTATTCCCCATAGTCACCTACGGATGTGAGAGCTGGACCATAGGTAAGGCTGAGCGAAGGAAGATAGATGCTTTTGAACTGTGGTGTTGGAGGAAAGTTCTGAGAGTGCCTTGGACCGGCAGAAGATCCAACCAGTCCATACTTCAGGAAATAAAACCCAACTGCTCAATGAAGGGAAGGATAAAAGGTAAAGGTAGTCCCCTGACATTAAGTCCAGTCATGTCTGACTCTGGGGTGTGGTGCTCATCTCCATTTCTAAGCCGACGAGCCAGCGTTGTCCGTAGACACCTCCAAGGTCATGTGGCCGGCATGACTGCATGGAGCGCCGTTACCTTCCCGCCGGAGCGGTACCTATTGATCTACTCACATTTGCATGTTTTCGAACTGCTAGGTTGGCAGAAGCTAGGGCTGACAGCGGAAGCTCACGCCGCTCCCCGGAATCGAACCTGCGACCTTTCGATCAACAAGCTCAGCAGCTCAGTGCTTTAACCCACTGCGCCACCGGGGGCTCCTTTGAAGGGAAGGATAGTAGAGGCAAAAATGAAGTACTTTGGCTACATCATGAGAAGAAAGGAAAGCTTAGAGCTGTGGTCCTCAAACTTTTTAAACAGAGTGCCAGGTCATGGTCCCTCAAACTGTTGGAGGGCCGGATTATAATTTGATAAAAATTTGAATATGAATTAATTCCTATGCACACTGCACATATCTTATTTGTAGTGCAAAAACACTTTAAAACAATACAATAATTAAAATGAATAACAATTTTAACAAATATAAACTTACTAGTATTTCAATGGGAAGTGTGGACCTGCTTTTGGCTGATGAAATAGGGTTGTTGTGTGCTTTTAAGTCATTTCAGACTTAGGTTGACCCTGAGCGAGCGCGGAGTAAATGACTTCAGGCCTTAGTTTGAGGACCCCTGGCTTAGAGAAGACAATGATGCTGGGGAAAATGGAAGGAAAAAGGAAGAGGGGCCGACCAAGGGCAAGATGGATGGATGGCATCCTTGAAGTGACTGGCTTGACTCTGAAGGAGCTGGGGGTGGTGATGGCCGACTGGGAGCTCTGGTGTGGGCTGGTCCATGAGGTCACGAAGATTTGGAAACGATTGAACGAGAAACAACAACTGCAATCGGAGAGCATTCTGAACCCCACTGAGAGAATTGGGTCAAACTTCCCACACAGAACCCTCATGACCAACAGAAAAGCCCTGGCAGTTAAAAGTGTTGTCAAAGTATCAATTCCCCACTGTGTAGATGCACCAAGGGAGTGCTACTGTCCTCATCGTTAAATATTTTAATAACTATTTCAATAATCATTATGTGTGTTTATATAATTTATGCACATTTTTATACAAGATGTAACTGGTGGGTTATGTTAATATTTAATTTTTGTTCACTTTTGTCATAGCTTGTGTTTCCTTTTGGTATTTGAATAGTTTGTTTTTGTATTGTCTTTAAGAATGTGTTTAGCATTACATGTTTAGCATTACATGTTTGCCATTTTTTTGTTGGAATCCATGCTGAGTCCCCTCGGGGAGAGAGGGCAGAATACAAATAAAGTTTTATTATTATATTGTTATTACTATCCGCTAGCACTGAATGGAAGCCAACGGTGCCAGAGGGGTAAATCCTGTGCAACTAATGCAGTTCGAATTGATAACATGGGTTAGAGCCCTTCCAGACAGCCATATAACCCAGAATATCAAGGCAGAATAACCCACAATACCTGCTTTAAACTAGGGGTCCTTCCAGACAGGTCCTATATCCCAGGATCTGATCCCAGGTTTTCTCTTTAATAATAATAATAATAATAATAATAATAATAATAATAATACTGACCTCACAGTCGTGTTAAAAAACAGAGTATGGATAGTTGATGTTCCAATCCCAGGCGACAGAAGGATTGAAGAGAAACAACTGGAAAAGCTGACACAATATGAGGATTTAAAGATCAAACTGCAGAGACTGGCACAAACCAGTAAAGGTGATCCCAGTGGTGATCGGCACACTGGATGCAGTGCCTAAAGACCTTGGCCTGCACTTAAACACAATCAGCGCTGACAATATTACCATCTGCCAGCTGCAAAAGTCCATCCTACTGGGATCTGCACGCATTATTCGCTGATGCATCACACAGTGGGAAGTGTCCAACGTGTGATCCAATATAACAGCCAGAGTAATCTTGTTTGCTGTGGACGCATCTTGTTGTGTTTCAAATAATAATAATAATAATACTAATCATCATCACCACCTTTCTTTATAACCCGCCCTATCTCCCCAGGAGGACTCAGGGCAGTTCCCAAACAAAAAGTGGCAAACTTTCAATGCCATACAAAAAACTGACAGAGGGTTGCTGTGAGTTTTCTGGGCTGCATGGCCATGCTCCTGGACCAGAAGCATTCTGGAACATGGCTATACATCCCGGAAAACTCAGCAACCCAGTGATTCTGACCATGAAAGCCTTTGACAACACATCAAACAGATAGACAAACCAAATCAAAACAATAAGTAAAACATCAATATAAACATATAATAACAAAAAAGTACTTAAACAAACACTGCCCTCTATCCCACACTGCCTTCTATCCCAGAACATCAAGGCAGAAAATCCCACAATATTTGCTTTGAACTAGATTATCTGAGTCCACACTCAGATAATGTGAGATTTTCTGCCTTGATATTCAGGGATAGAGGGTTGTGTGGAAGGGCCCCAAGTCTTATGCAATCATAAGAGTTTTAGTTTTACCAGGCCTTTAGCTTTCTCTGCTCAAGAGTGCTGCTGCCTCACCCAACTATAGATCCCAGGATTCCATAGAATCAAGCCATAGCGGTTAAAAGTGGTATAAAACTGCTCTCTAACGAGCAGTGGACATATGTGACAAAGAGCACGATAAAAGGGCACCAGAGTTCAAAAATATTGACAAATGGACAGTGTCCAGAGGAGGGTCACTAAAATGATCAAAGGTCTGGAGACCATGCCCTATGAGTAGCGTCTGAAAGAGCTGGGCATGTTTAGCCTGCAGAAGAGAAGGCTGAGAGGAGACATGATAGCCATGTATAAACATGTGAAAGGGTGTCATAAGGACACCCCACACAACTCCCCCAATAAAGATTATTAAAAAAAAAAAGACCCCCCCCCCCCCCCCCGGGTTCAGCACTTGCCTGGGGAGCAAGCTTGTAGAAAGAATAGTTTTAGTTCTTTGTCCTGTTTCCATGACCAAAATGCTGGATACAAGCCTTTTACCATTTTTGATATCATAGAATCATAGATAGGAAAATGATGGAAAGAGTAATCTAATTTAATTTTAATATATTTTATCAGTGTGTTTTAACCATGTTGTATCTGGCCTCAAACTGTGAGGAGAGACATTTAACAAATGAATAATAATAATAATAATAATAATAATAATAATAATAATAAGCTGCTGCTGCAAGAAGATCACACAGACAGACTACAAGCAGAGGCATAACACTGTTGCTCAGATTATTCATTGGAACTTGTGCCACAAATACCATCTCCCTTTGAAAAAGGACTGGTGGGATCACAAGCCTGAAAAGGTGACAGAAAATGAACATGTCAAACTACTCTGGGACTTCCGAATTCAGACTGACAGAGTTTTGGAGCACAATACTCCTGACCTCATGATCATGTTAAAAAACCAAGTATGGATCGCTGATGTTGCAACCCCAGGTGACAGCAGGATTGAAGAGAAACAACGGGAAAAGCTGACATGATATGAGCATTTAAATACTGAACTGCAAAGACTCTGACACAAATCAGTCAGTGTGGTCCCAGTGGTGATGGGCTCACTGGATGCAGTGCCTAAAGACCTTGGCCTGCACTTAAACACAATTGGCACTGACAAAATTACCATCTGTCAGCTGCAAAAGGCCACCCTACACGCATCTGCACACATTATTCACCATACATCACACAGTCCTAGACACTTGGGAAGTGCCCGACGTGTGATCCAATACAACAGCCAGCATAGTGATCTTGTTTACTGTGTACTAATCTTGTTATGCTTCAAATTATTATTATTATTATTATTATTATTATTATTATTATTATTTTGACACAAAAGCACAGTATGTCACAGCAAACGAGATCAATATGCTGGATTTCATATCAAAAAAATCATAAGTCGAACACTTCCCAAGCGCCTAGGACTGTGTGATGTATTTTCGAATGAGGCGCGCAGATCCAAGTAAGGTGGCCTTTTGCAGTTAATAGATTGTGATTTTGTCGATGTTTATTGTTTCCAAATGCCAGCTGAGATCTTTTGGCACGGCACCCAGGCTCCAATGACCACTGGGACCACCTGTACTGTTTATATCAGAGCCT